GCACTCACCAGCACATGCACTCACCAGCACATGCACTCACACCAGCACCATGCACTCACCAGCACATGCACTCACACAGCACATGCACTCACCAGCACATGCACTCACCAGCAACATGCACTCACCAGCAACATGCACTCACCCAGCACATGCACTCACCAGCACATGCACTCACCAGCACATGCACTCACCAGCACATGCACTCACCAGCACATGCACTCACCAGCACATGCACTCACCAGCCACATGCACTCACCAGCACATGCACTCACCAGCACATGCACTCACCAGCACATGCACTCACCAGCACATGCACTCACCAGCACATGCACTCACCAGCACATGCACTCACCAGCACATGCACTCACCAGCACATGCACTCACCAGCACATGCACTCACCAGCACATGCACTCACCAGCACATGCACTCACCAGCACATGCACTCACCAGCACATGCACTCACCAGCACATGCACTCACCAGCACATGCACTCACCAGCACATGCACTCACCAGCACATGCACTCACCAGCACATGCACTCACCAGCACATGCACTCACCAGCACATGCACTCACCAGCACATGCACTCACCAGCACATGCACTCACCAGCACATGCACTCACCAGCACATGCACTCACCAGCACATGCACTCACCAGCACATGCACTCACCAGCACATGCACTCACCAGCACATGCACTCACCAGCACATGCACTCACCAGCACATGCACTCACCAGCACATGCACTCACCAGCACTCACCAGCACATGCACTCACCAGCACATGCACTCACCAGCACATGCACTCACCAGCACATGCACTCACCAGCACATGCACTCACCAGCACATGCACTCACCAGCACATGCACTCACCAGCACATGCACTCACCAGCACATGCACTCACCAGCAACATGCACTCACCAGCACATGCACTCACCAGCACATGCACTCACCAGCACATGCACTCACCAGCACATGCACTCACCAGCACATGCACTCACCAGCACATGCACTCACCAGCACATGCACTCACCAGCACATGCACTCACCAGCACATGCACTCACCAGCACATGCACTCACCAGCACATGCACTCACCAGCACATGCACTCACCAGCACATGCACTCACCAGCACATGCACTCACCAGCACATGCACTCACCAGCACATGCACTCACCAGCACATGCACTCACCAGCACATGCACTCACCAGCACATGCACTCACCAGCACATGCACTCACCAGCACATGCACTCACCAGCACATGCACTCACCAGCACATGCACTCACCAGCACATGCACTCACCAGCACATGCACTCACCAGCACATGCACTCACCAGCACATGCACTCACCAGCACATGCACTCACCAGCACATGCACTCACCAGCACATGCACTCACCAGCACATGCACTCACCAGCACATGCACCACCAGCACATGCACTCACCAGCACATGCACTCACCAGCACATGCACTCACCAGCACATGCACTCACCAGCACATGCACTCACCAGCACATGCACTCACCAGCACATGCACTCACCAGCACATGCACTCACCAGCACATGCACTCACCAGCACATGCACTCCCCAGCACATGCACTCACCAGCACATGCACTCACCAGCACATGCACTCACCAGCACATGCACTCACCAGCACATGCACTCACCAGCACATGCACTCACCAGCACATGCACTCACCAGCACATGCACTCACCAGCACATGCACTCACCAGCACAGCACTCACCAGCACATGCACTCAACCAGCACATGCACTCACCAGCACATGCACTCACTCACCAGCACATGCACTCACCAGCACATGCACTCACCAGCACATGCACTCACCAGCACATGCACTCACCAGCACATGCACTCACCAGCACATGCACTCACCAGCACATGCACTCACCAGCACATGCAATCACCAGCACATGCACTCACCAGCACATGCACTCACCAGCACATGCACTCACCAGCACATGCACTCACCAGCACATGCACTCACCAGCACATGCACTCACCAGCACATGCACTCACCAGCACATGCACTCACCAGCACATGCACTCACCAGCACATGCACTCACCAGCACATGCACTCACCAGCACATGCACTCACCAGCACATGCACTCACCAGCACATGCACTCACCAGCACATGCACTCACCAGCACATGCACTCACCAGCACATGCACTCACCAGCACATGCACTCACCAGCACATGCACTCACCGCACATGCACTCACCAGCACATGCACTCACCAGCACATGCACTCACCAGCACATGCACTCACCAGCACATGCACTCACCAGCACATGCACTCACCAGCACATGCACTCACCAGCACATGCACTCACCAGCACATGCACTCACCAGCACATGCACTCACCAGCACATGCACTCACCAGCACATGCACTCACCAGCACATGCACTCACCAGCACATGCACTCACCAGCACATGCACATCACCAGCACATGCACTCACCAGCACATGCACTCACCAGCACATGCACTCACCAGCACATGCACTCACCAGCACATGCACTCACCAGCACATGCACTCACCAGCACAGCACTCACCAGCACATTGCACTCACCAGCACATGCACTCACCAGCACATGCACTCACCAGCACATGCACTCACAGCACATGCAGCTCACCAGCACATGCACTCACCAGCACATGCACTCACCAGCACATGACTCACCAGCACATGCACTCACCAGCACATGCACTCACCAGCACATGCACTCACCAGCACATGCACTCACCAGCACATGCACTCACCAGCACATGCACGCACCAGCACATGCACTCACCAGCACATGCACTCACCAATGCACACTCACCAGCACATGCACTCACCAGCACATGCACTCACCAGCACATGCACTCACCAGCACCATGCACTCACCAGCACATGCACTCACCAGCACATGCACTCACCAGCACATGCACTCACCAGGCACATGGCACTCACCAGCCACATGCACTCACCAGCACATGCCACTCACCAGCACATGCACTCACCAGCACATGCACTCACCAGCACATGCACTCACCAGCAACATGCACTCACCAGCACATCGCACTCACCAGCACATGCACTCACCAGCACATGCACTCACCAGCACATGCACTCACCAGCAACATGCACTCACCAGCACATGCACTCACCAGCACATGCACTCACCAGCAATGCACTCACCAGCACATGCACTCACCAGCACATGCACTCCACCAGCACATGCACTCACCAGCACATGCACCTCACCAGCACATGCACTCACCAGCACATGCACTCACCAGCACATGCACTCACCAGCACATGCACTCACCAGCACATGCACTCACCAGCACATGCACTCACCAAGCACATGCACTCACCAGCACATGCACTCACCAGCACATGCACTCACCAGCCACATGCACTCACCAGCACATGCACTCACCAGCACATGCACTCACCAGCACATGCACTCACCAGCACATGCACTCACCAGCACATGCACTCACCAGCACATGCACTCACCAGCACATGCACTCACCAGCACATGCACTCACCAGCACATGCACTCACCAGCACATGCACTCACCAGCACATGCACTCACCAGCACATGCACTCACCAGCACATGCACTCACCAGCACATGCACTCACCAGCACATGCACTCACCAGCACATGCACTCACCAGCACATGCACTCACCAGCACATGCACTCACCAGCACATGCACTCACCAGCACATGCACTCACCAGCACATGCACTCACCAGCACATGCACTCACCAGCACATGCACTCACCAGCACATGCACTCACCAGCACATGCACTCACCAGCACATGCACTCACCAGCACATGCACTCACCAGCACATGCACTCACCAGCACATGCACTCACCAGCACATGCACTCACCAGCACATGCACTCACCAGCACATGCACTCACCCAGCACAGCACTCACCAGCACATGCACTCACCAGCACATGCACTCACCAGCACATGCACTCACCAGCACATGCACTCACCAGCACATGCACTCACCAGCACATGCACTCACCAGCACATGCACTCACCAGCACATGCACTCACCAGCACATGCACTCCACCAGCACATGCACTCACCAGCACATGCACTCACAGCACATGCACTCACCAGCACATGCAGCTCACCAGCACATGCACTCACCAGCACATGCACTCACCAGCACATGCACTCACCAGCACATGCACTCACCAGCACATGCACTCACCAGCACAATGCACTCACCAGCACATGCACTCACCAGCACATGCACTCACCAGCACATGCACTCACCAGCACATGCACTCACCAGCACATGCACTCACCAGCACATGCACTCACCAGCACATGCACTCACCAGCACATGCACTCACCAGCACATGCACTCACCAGCACATGCACTCACCAGCACATGCAATCACCAGCACATGCACTCACCAGCACATGCACTCACCAGCACATGCACTCACCAGCACATGCACTCACCAGCACATGCACTCACCAGCACATGCACTCACCAGCACATGCACTCACCAGCACATGCACTCACCAGCACATGCACTCACCAGCACATGCACTCACCAGCACATGCACTCACCAGCACATGCACTCACCAGCACATGCACTCACCAGCACATGCACTCACCAGCACATGCACTCACCAGCACATGCACTCACCAGCACATGCACTCACCAGCACATGCACTCACCAGCACATGCACTCACCAGCACATGCACTCACCAGCACATGCACTCACCAGCACATGCACTCACCAGCACATGCACTCACCAGCACATGCACTCACCAGCACATGCACTCACCAGCACATGCACTCACCAGCACATGCACTCACCAGCACATGCACTCACCAGCACATGCACTCACCAGCACATGCACTCACCAGCACATGCACTCACCAGCACATGCACTCACCAGCACATGCACTCACCAGCACATGCACTCACCAGCACGTGCACTCCTTCCAGCTCCTGTACATAAGAATCCATTGACGAAACAGTGCTGTCACTAAACGCCGAATCCTCATCATCATCCTCCTCATCCTCCTCATCCTCCTCGTCGTCTTCATCATCGTCATCCCCATCCATAAATGAATACTCCTCACCAACCTTCCTCGTCCCCCCTCCCCTGCCCTCAGCCCCATCCACACCATCACCAGCACCATCAAATCCACTGTTCCACAGCAACCCATTGCTCCTCTCATCTCCTCCACCAACCCCATCAAGACCTGCCCTTCTTCCTCTCCTCCTCGCTCTGCTGCTAGAAACCCGTCCCCCCCTCTCCCTAAACACTACATTCTGCCGCTTGGTTCGATCCAGCACCAGCCGCACTACAAACGTCACTGTCGCACCCAACCCCTCTCCATCGCTCTCAATCCAAATGCACCCCCCCATCAGCTGCACAAACTTCTGGCAGATCTCAAACCCTAGCAACGTTCCTCCCTTCCTCTCTTCCCGTGCTCCCTCTACTCCGTTTCCCTGCCCCTCTCCTCTCCCTCCTCCTCCTGCTCCACTCCCCCCATCCGCATCACTCGCTCTCTGCTGCTGCAGCAGCAGCGCCTCGTGCTGCTTAAATTCCATGGCTGTCAGCCCACACCCAGAGTCCTTGATATCTACACGAATGTTCACCAAATCTTGGCCCAGCAGCAGCTGCACGGGCGGGAAGGGGGAACGGGAGGTTTGAGATGGTTACGACCCAGCAGCAGCGCTTCGTGCTGCTTAAACTCCATGGCTGTGAGGCCGCAACCCGAGTCCTTGATATCTACACGGATGTTCACCAAATCTTGACCCAGCAGCAGCTGCAGCGGGGGAAGGGGTGGGGGGGTTGGGAGTTGGGGTAAAGGATTTGAATTGACTCGACTAACAGAGCGACAGGCCAAACCCAGAGTCCTCGATATCTCCACAAATGTTCACCAAATCTTGACCCAGCAGCAGCTACAGGGGCGGGAAGGGGGAATGGGAGGTTTGAGATGGTTGAGAGCCAGCAGCAGCGCCTCGTGCTGTTTGAACTCCATGGCTGTGAGGCCGCACTCTGAGTCCTTGACCCAGCAACAGCTGCAGGAGCGAGACGGGTCACATACATGCCAAAGCGGATACGATTCAATTTGACTTGGGGAAAGAAAATAAAATAAAAAAATGTGAGGCAACAGGGAAGGGGCTTGAGACAACAGCAGCAATACAGTTGATTCCATTCCATTACAGTTGATTCCATTCCTACCTCCCACGGTGTGTGTGGCTGGAGACCGAGCGAATTCTCCCCTGCGGCGGCAGCTGCGGCAGCAGCAGCAGGGAGGAACGATGCAGCAGCGGGGCCATCACCGGCTGTGAAGGAGGACTGGGAGGAGTGGGGGCGGGGGGTCTGCCCATCATCCACTGATACCCGTACCGACACAAAGCCCTGCTTGGGAAGGCAGCAGGTGCCAACACAGAAGAGGAAGGGAGAGAGGCGGTAGGGTTGAGGGGTCTGGCAGCGGCAGCAGGAAGCAATGGCAGGGCCATCAACGGCAGTGAAGGCGGAGTGGGAGGAGTGGGGTGGTTGAATCTGCCCGTCGTTTACTGACACGCGCACTGACACAAAGCCCTGCTTGGGAGAGGGGAATCGAGGAACGGAGGGGTGGATGGGGGGATAAGGGGGGGCAGTGGGGGCTTGAGACCAGCAGAGGAAGGGAAAGAGGAGCAGGACGGTTGAGCCCACTCAATAAAAACGGATACAACCGTCCCGAATGAGGTCGAGCCCACTCAATCAAAACGGATACAACCGTCCCGAATGAGGTTGAGCCCACTCAATCAAAACGGATACAACCGTCCCGAATGAGGTTGAGCCCACTCAATCAAAACGGATACAACCGTCCCGAATGAGGTTGAGCCCACTCAATAAAAACGGATACAACCGTCCCGAATGAGGTTGAGCCCACTCAATCAAAACGGATACAACCGTCCCGAATGAGGTTGAGCCCACTCAATCAAAACGGATACAACCGTCCCGAATGAGGTTGAGCCCACTCAATAAAAACGGATACAACCGTCCCGAATGAGGTTGAGCCCACTCAATCAAAACGGATACAACCGTCCCGAATGAGGTTGAGCCCACTCAATCAAAACGGATATAACCGTCCCGAATGAGGTTGAGCCCACTCAATAAAGACGGATACAACCGTCCCGAATGAGGTTGAGCCCACTCAATCAAAACGGATACAACCGTCCCGAATGAGGTTGAGCCCACTCAATAAAAACGGATACAACCGTCCCGAATGAGGTTGAGCCCACTCAATAAAAACGGATACAACCGTCCCGAATGAGGTTGAGCCCACTCAATCAAAACGGATACAACCGTCCCGAATGAGGTTGAGCCCACTCAATAAAAACGGATACAACCGTCCCGAATGAGGTTGAGCCCACTCAATAAAAACGGATACAACCGTCCCGAATGAGGTTGAGCCCACTCAATAAAAACGGATACAACCGTCCCGAATGAGGTTGAGCCCACTCAATAAAAACGGATACAACCGTCCCGAATGAGGTTGAGCCCACTCAATCAAAACGGATACAACCGTCCCGAATGAGGTTGAGCCCACTCAATAAAAACGGATACAACCGTCCCGAATGAGGTTGAGCCCACTCAATAAAAACGGATACAACCGTCCCGAATGAGGTTGAGCCCACTCAATAAAAACGGATACAACCGTCCCGAATGAGGTTGAGCCCACTCAATAAAAACGGATACAACCGTCCCGAATGAGGTTGAGCCCACTCAATAAAAACGGATACAACCGTCCCGAATGAGGTTGAGCCCACTCAATAAAAACGGATACAACCGTCCCGAATGAGGTTGAGCCCACTCAATAAAAACGGATACAACCGTCCCGAATGAGGTTGAGCCCACTCAATAAAAACGGATACAACCGTCCCGAATGAGGTTGAGCCCACTCAATCAAAACGGATACAACCGTCCCGAATGAGGTTGAGCCCACTCAATAAAAACGGATACAACCGTCCCGAATGAGGTTGAGCCCACTCAATAAAAACGGATGCAACCGTCCCGAATGAGGTTGAGCCCACTCAATAAAAACGGATACAACCGTCCCGAATGAGGTTGAGCCCACTCAATAAAAACGGATACAACCGTCCCGAATGAGGTTGAGCCCACTCAATAAAAACGGATACAACCGTCCCGAATGAGGTTGAGCCCACTCAATAAAAACGGATACAACCGTCCCGAATGAGGTTGAGCCCACTCAATAAAAACGGATACAACCGTCCCGAATGAGGTTGAGCCCACTCAATAAAAACGGATACAACCGTCCCGAATGAGGTTGAGCCCACTCAATAAAAACGGATACAACCGTCCCGAATGAGGTTGAGCCCACTCAATAAAAACGGATACAACCGTCCCGAATGAGGTTGAGCCCACTCAATCAAAACGGATACAACCGTCCCGAATGAGGTTGAGCCCACTCAATCAAAACGGATACAACGATTTCCCTCCCGAACCTCCTTCTCTTCTCCACTTCACCTCATCCGTCTCCTTCACGGCTCACCCGAGCGAGCAGGTGGAGCATCAGCCGCAGAAACCTTTTCTCATCGCCTGACAAAAGCTCACCAACAGACAGTCCACACCCCTCCCCCCCCCCCTCCCTCCCCCCCCCCACCCACCCTCTTCTCCCACTCAACTCACCGCGCACCGCGGCACCACTGAAGCCACACCAGCAACCAGACTGAAACCCATCCATCCATCCATCCATCCATCCACCTCACCTCATCGGTTTTCAGCATGAGGCGCAGCAGGCGCTTCTCATCGCCCACCACATATCGCGGCACCACCCCCGCGACTTCCAGCGAGAAGCGCAGCCCCTTGGACCGCACCAGCCACTTCCTGTGATAGTTGCTGCCCCGTCCCCTCCCCCGCTCTCTACATTCCCCTTTTCCCTCGCACCCTGCCAGGAGATGCAGCAATCCTCCGATTCCCCGCTCACCTCGTCAGTCTTCTTCACAGCTCGCCCGATCAGATGCAGCATGAGGCGCAGCAGGCGCTTCTCATCGCCCACCACGTACCGCGGCACCACCCCCGCGACTTCCAGGGAGAACCGCAACCCCTTCACCCGCACCAGCGGCCCCTCCCACCCTCCCCTGCTGCCACAATCCCTTCCCTGACCCCGTTCCCCTCCCGCTCACCTCATCCGTCTTCTTCACAGCCCGTTCGATGAGGTGCAGCATGAGTCGTAAGAGCCGCTACTCATCGCCCACCACGTACCGCGGCACCACCCCCGCCACCTCCAGACGTAAGGTGCAGAATGAGACGGCTCGCCCAATAAGGTGCAGCATGAGACGGCTCGCCCAATAAGGTGCAGCATGAGACGTAAGAGCCACTTCTCATCGCCCACCACGTACCGCGGCACCACTGAAGCACAGACCAGCGGCGAGACTACCCCCCCCACCCACCTCTCTCCCGCTCACCTCATCGGTCTTCTTCACAGCCCGTCCAATGAGGTGCAGCATCAACCGCAGCAGCCTTTTCTCATCGCCCACCACGTATCGCGGCACCACCCCCGCCACCTCCAGGGAGAAGCGCAGCCCCTTGGACCGCACCAGCGGCCACGCCAGCTTCCCGGCTTCTCTGCACAGCTTTCGCAGATCAAAGGGACGCTTCTCCAGATGCAGGCTGTGGGGGGGGAGGTGCGCGGGAATTCCAGAAGGGGAAGTGAGGCAGTGTTTGACTGGATTCAGGAAGGTGGCGGCTGGCAGGGGAATGTGGACCGCACGGCCATGCCAGCTTGCCGGCCTCCCGGCACAGCTTGCGCAGGTCAAAGGGGAACTTCTCCAGATGCAGACTGGGAGGGCAAGGTAGGGAGAACGGATTTCAAGAAGAGGAGATGAAGGATAGGAAGATGCACGGCACGGCACTGACGCCTACAGAATTCCTCACCTCCCCCACCCTCCCTCCCTCACCTCCCTCTCACGCTCGTCTCTCCTCCTGTCGGCTAAAATCGAGCACATCACAGCACTGCGCAGTGCACATCAGTGATGAGCGACGTGAGAAGGAACGCACTGCGCAGCACTGCGCAGCACTGCGCAGCACAGCACAGCACAGCACAGCACAGCACAGCACAGCACAGCACGCCACAGACTAATTCTTTATGCGCTAACAAATTTCCTCATGTCCCTCACCTCCCTCCCCCACCTCCCTCTCACCTCTCCTCCTGTCGGCTGAAGTCGAGCACGTCAGTGATGAGCGAAGTCAGCAGAGACGCACTGCGCAGCACAGTTGCCACCATGGCCGCTTGCTCCGGGGTCAGGTCCTCCTCCTGGTGAGGGGAGAGGGGTGGGTGGATAGTCAAGTGGGTGCTGGTGTCACTACTAAAATGAGGTGAGCAGAGACGCACTGCGCAGCACAGTTGCCACCATGGGCGCTTGCTCCGGGGTCAGGTCCTCCTCCTGGGGGAGGGTGGGGGGGGAGCGGGGGCGGGGGAAGGGGGAGGGGTTTTAAAGGAGTGAGGGGATGCACTGCACAGCACTGCGCAGAACAGTCGCCACCATGGGTGCTTGCTCCGGGGTCAGGTCCTCCTCCTGGGGGGAGTAACAGTGCAGAGCATGTATGCATGCAGGTATGTAAGAGGAAAATGGCACTGCGCAGCACAGTCGCCTCGCCACCATGGGTGCTTGCTCCGGGGTCAGGTCCTCCTGCTGAAAATGGAAGCAAGAGCTGTGATGGAGTGAAGGGGAGTGCGCATCTCATGGTTCATCACGGCCAGAAATTTGTTCCTCGCCAGCAATGCAAAAAAGCCATACACTGCACAGTGCCCTCACATGCCCTCACATGCCCTCACATGCCCTCACATGCCCTCACATGCCCTCACATGCTCTCACATGCTCTCACATGCCCTCACATGCTCTCACATGCTCTCACATGCTCTCACATGCTCTCACATGCTCTCACATGCTCTCACATGCTCTCACATGCCCTCACATGCCCTCACATGCCCTCACATGCCCTCACATGCCCTCACATGCCCTCACATGCCCTCACATGCCCTCACATGCCCTCACATGCCCTCACATGCTCTCACATGCTCTCACATGCTCTCACATGCTCTCACATGCTCTCACATGCTCTCACATGCTCTCACATGCTCTCACATGCTCTCACATGCCCTCACATGCCCTCACATGCCCTCACATGCCCTCACATGCCCTCACATGCCCTCACATGCCCTCACATGCCCTCACATGCCCTCACATGCCCTCACATGCCCTCACATGCTCTCACATGCTCTCACATGCTCTCACATGCCCTCACATGCTCTCACATGCCCTCACATGCTCTCACATGCTCTCACATGCTCTCACATGCTCTCACATGCTCTCACATGCTCTCACATGCTCTCACATGCTCTCACACGCTCTCACACGCTCTCACACGCTCTCACACGCTCTCACATGCTCTCACATGCTCTCACATGCCCTCACATGCCCTCACATGCCCTCACATGCTCTCACATGCTCTCACATGCCCTCACATGCTCTCACATGCTCTCACATGCTCTCACATGCTCTCACATGCTCTCACATGCTCTCACATGCCCTCACATGCTCTCACATGCCCTCACATGCTCTCACATGCTCTCACATGCTCTCACATGCTCTCACATGCTCTCACATGCCCTCACATGCCCTCACATGCTCTCACATGCTCTCACATGCCCTCACATGCTCTCACATGCCCTCACATGCTCTCACATGCTCTCACATGCTCTCACATGCTCTCACATGCTCTCACATACCCTCACATGCCCTCACATGCCCTCACATGCTCTCACATGCTCTCACATGCTCTCACATGCTCTCACATGCTCTCACATGCTCTCACATGCCCTCACATGCCCTCACATGCCCTCACATGCCCTCACATGCTCATGCATCCTCTCACAAAAGCCCTCTACGCTCACATTAAGAATGGAGGCCAGGGCAGTGATGGAGTGAAGAGGTGTGCGCATCTCGTGGTTCATCACGGCCAGAAAGTCGTTCCTCGCCATCACTGCTCTCTGCCCTCTGGCTTCAATGGCCTCAACAGCAGGCACAGTGTTCAGCAGCTCACATTAAGGATGGACGCCAGGGCAGTGATGGAGTGAAGAGGTGTGCGCATCTCATGGTTCATCACGGCCAGAAAGTCGTTCCTCGCCATCACTGCCACCTCTGCTCTCTGCCGCGCTGCCTGCAACGTTCGATTCTTCTCCTCCAACTCGTCTCTTCGCCGCTGGTTGGGGGGAGAGGGGTAGAGGAGAGGGAGAAGGATGACAAGAGTGGGAAGAGGAGAAATGAGAACAGTTTCTTCTCGCCATCACTGCCATCTCTGCTCTCTGCCGCGCTGCCTGCAGCGTTGGGTTCTCTTACTACAACTCATCCCTTCGCCGCTGGTTGGGAGGAAAGAGGAGAGGGAGAGAAGCGAGCGTAATAAAGGAAAGAGAGGAATCAGGTTGCTCTTTGCAGTTCCCCCTCAGGCGTCTCCCCTTCATTCAACCCCCACTAAGTCTGAAAACACAACAAATCGTCTCCTCCATCGCTCCTCACCTGCGTCTCGTCTCCTCGAGCAATGCTGCATGTGAGAGGGCCACTGGCACCTGTTCTGCCTTATTTAAGTTTAAGGTTCCTAATGATTCCCACCAGCACCCCTCACCTGCGTCTCCTCGAGCACTGCAGCGTGTGAGAGGGCCACTGCCACCTGGTCAGCTACCACCTCCACCATCTCCACCTCGTGCGCCTTCCACTGCCTGCAATGGATGGCAAAGGGAGAGAGGAAGGACGTGAAGAGAGAGAAGATGAGATTACAGGAGTCGTAGGGTAGGGGAGATGGACATCTCCATCTCCACTGCCCTATTCGAGTGACTTTTGAGAATTCTCAAAAGTAAAAGTCACTCGAAGGTAGGGGGGATGGACATCTCCATCTCCCCTGCCACCTGGTCTGCTACCACCTCCACCATCTCCACCTCGTACGCCTTCCACTGCCTGTAAGGGAAATTGAGGAGCGAATACTTCTGAGGCGAGGAGAGGATAGGAGAGAGGAGAGAGAGGGTACAGATAAACAGCTTACAGCACAAGCCATAAACAATTACTGCCACACACTTTCTAGGGTCCCCATGCGGCACGAGCACCATGAGCCCATACACCGGCTTTTCAGTCGGCTAGTTGAGTCGATCTATTGAGTCAGCTAGTTGCCCTAACATCCACCCCTCCTCACCTTCTCGCATCACCGTGCAGCACAAGCACCACGTGTCCATACACCGGCACCACTCCCCCTACCTCTCCTCGCCTTCCCCCTCACTCCTCACCATCACTGGCTGTTAAGTTGACTAGTCAAAGATCAACTCAAACATCCAACCCGCCTCACCTTCTAGCATCACCGTGCAGCACAAGCACCATGAGCCCATACACCGGCACCACTCCCCCCACCCTCGCCCCTCCTCACCGTCACTGGTTTGAAGTTTACTACTTGAGCCAACTCCAACACCCACCAATTCTCACCTTCTAGCATCCCCATGCAGCACGAGCACCATGAGTCCATACACCGGCACCACTCCCCCCACCCTCTCCTCGCCCCTCCTCACCGTCACTGGTTTGAAGTTTACTACTTGAGCGGACTCCAACACCCACCAATTCTCACCTTCTTGCATCCCCATGCAGCACGAGCACCATGAGTCCATACACTGGCACCACTCCCCCCACCCTCTCCTCGTCTCCCCCGCCACTCCCACCCTCCCCTCCTCCTGCTGCTGCAGCACCATCACCACTCCGAAGCAAGGGACTGCTTTCTCCTCCACTCCCATTCACATCCTCACCAGCAACTTCCACCCCACCCGCACCCACACCCACACCCGCAGCCACAGCTGCTGCCACAGCAGCAGCAGCAGCAGCAGCAGCAGCATCGGCAGCAGCAGCAGCATCAGCCATGGCTTCAAGCGGCAGTATAGGCAGGCGCACAGCAGCAAGGGAGGTGCTGTGGGCGGTGTGGGAGGCGGAGGCGCGGCCGATGAAGGAGGAGGGGGAGATGCGGAGGGCGCGGGGCGTGTGGATGAGGGATTGGACCGTCGGGTCGGAGAGCGGGACGAGCACCGGTGCTTGTACTAGCCGCCGCTCCAACTCGTGTGTCAGCTCCAAACAGGACCCGGCTGGTGCGAGAGGGGGGGCAAGGGAAGGAGAAAAAGGGAGCGGGAATGTGAAGAGAGGTGAGATGGAGGTGGGGGAGATGCGGAGGGCGCGGGGCGTGTGGATGAGGGACTGCACCGTGGGGTCGGAGAGAGGGACGAGGACTGGTGCCTGCACTAGCCGCCGCTCCAACTCGTGTGTCAGCTCCAAACAGGACCCGGCTGGTATGGGAGAGGAGGAGCAAGGGAAGGAGAAAAGGAAAGTGAGAGGGACACAATACATACTATCACTCCGTGTTAGCGTCACTCACAGGTGGCACTCACAGGGATGTGGCATCCAAATGGTGCAGTTCTCGAGCATGAGAGCCTGGGCCAGCTCCACAAGGGTGGTGTTGAGGATGGTGTGGCGGTCCAGCGACTGAAGGGTAGCAGCACCCAGAGGCACTTGATAGATAACAGCACTGATAGGTAGCAGCACCCAGAGGCACTTGATAGATAACAGCACTGATAGGTAGCAGCACCCAGAGGCACTTGATAGATAACAGCACTGATAGGTAGCAGCACCCAGAGGCACTTGATAGATAACAGCACTGATAGGTAGCAGCACCCAGAGGCACTTGATAGATAACAGCACTGATAGGTAGCAGCACCCAGAGGCACTTGATAGATAGCAGCACTGATAGGTAGCAGCAACCAGAGGCACTTGATAGATAACAGCACTGATAGGTAGCAGCACCCAGAGGCACTTGATAGATAACAGCACTGATAGGTAGCAGCACCCAGAGGCACTTGATAGATAACAGCACTGATAGGTAGCAGCTCCCAGAGGCACTTGATAGATAACAGCACTGATAGGTAGCAGCACCCAGAGGCACTTGATAGATAACAGCACTGATAGGTAGCAGCACCCAGAGGCACTTGATAGATAACAGCACTGATAGGTAGCAGCACCCAGAGGCACTTGATAGATAACAGCACTGATAGGTAGCAGCACCCAGAGGCACTTGATAGATAACAGCACTGATAGGTAGCAGCACGGTGAGGCGGCACTCACAGGGGTGCGGCATCCAAATGGTGCAGTTCTCGAGCATGAGAGCCTGGGCCAGCTCCACGAGGGTGGTGTTGAGGATGGTGTGGCGGTCCAGCGACTGGCGGATCTCGTATGTCAGCATGCGCACGTGCCGCCCCACCTCCTCCTTTCGCCTCATCACGTCCATTTCTCTGTCTAGCTGGGCCGCTTTATGCTGCAAGAAGAGCTCTCGGACCTGCAGGCAGGCAGGGAATGGGGAATGTGTGGGGGGCCGGGGGAATGGATATCCCTAGGCATGCGCACGTGCCGCCCCACCTCCTCCTTTCGCCTCATCACGTCCATCTCCCTGTCTAATTGCGCTGCCTTGTGCTGCAAGAAGAGTTCCTGGACCTGGAAAGAAGTAGTGGGGAATGGGATGGGATGGGATGGGATGGGATGGGATGGGATGGGAGAACTGGGATTCTGCGGCATGCACTGGTTTGCCACGTGCCGCCCCACCTCCTTCTTTCGCCTCATCACATCCATTTCTCTATCCAGCTGTGCCGCTTTATGCTGCAGCAACAACTCCCGGACCTGCAGGCAGGCAGTGTGGGGAGATGTTGAAAAATGTGAGGCATGCACTGGATTGCCACACGAGGTGACTTTTGAGTCGACTCAACAGTCACCTTGCACTGGATTACCACACGTGCCCTGATTGCACCTCTCCTCCGTGCGCCGCATCACATCCATCTCCCTGTCTAATTGTGCTGCACAGTGCAGGGGAATGCGTGCAGGATCGGGGGTCTGAGGCATGCGCAAGTGGCGTGGGTTGGGTCCCCCACCTGCTCCTTGCGCCCAACATACCTGCTGCACGTGCTTTCGCGCGAGAGGCCCAACACAACACACCTTGACGTTGAGCAACGCAGGGATGACAGTGATGAGCAGGAAATACGGCACAGGACACAGCCGCACAGACTTGCACAGCACACCTTGAAACCAGACCCCACCTTGACGTTGAGCAACGCAGGGATGATGGTGACGAGGAGGAAGCCGTGGCACAGGAGACAGCAGCAGGCTTCCAGGGCGATTAAGAGCCTCCAGGGGAATCCGCTTGCACCTGCTGCAAGTAATGCACTGACAGTCTACTTTCGAGGCGCCTCAAAAGTAGACTGCTGCAAGCAATGCACTGACAGAGAGCACGGCTGCACGCACACACACCTTGACGTTGAGCAGAGCGGGGATGATGGTGACGAGCAGGAAGGCCGTGGCACAGGAGACAGCCGCACAGAGCACTTTGAGCACTGTTTGCAGCACTGCCACTGCACTGGGATGGGGACCATATGTCCACATGTTCACCAGATGAGTCAGACCTGGGAGAGTGGGGAGAGAGAGGGGTGCAGAGATGGAAATGAGAGGGAGAAGGGAGGCTGAACAATGACGCTCAGCTCATCGCAGAGCAATGCGGAGTGTGCAAGTCCCACCACAGAGCAGAGCACGATGAAGAGGCCGAACTGCAGCAGCAGCAGCAAACGACAGTTGGGGAAGACATCTGAGTCGACTCAAAGCTCAAGGGATTTTTTAGGCGTCTCAAAAAATTTTGAGGCGCCTCAAAAATTGAGTCGACTCAAAGCTCAAGGGTGCACGGCTCACCACAGAGAAATGAGCGGGTGCAAGGGGGCTAACTCACCACAGAGCACGATAAAGAGGCCGAACTGCAGCAGCACCCAGCGGTGGGGAAAGTCCTTGGCTCGCAGGAAGAAGTAGAGAAGCTCCAATGGGATGGAGAAGTAAGCCAGAGCTATGAGGAAGTCGCTGGGGGAGAGAGTGGGGGGGGGAGGGCAGGGCAGAGAGAGCGGGGGGGGGGGGGGGGGGGAGGAGAAATAAGAGAAAGAAACTCGCCGAGAGAGTGCGCTCTCTCCGTTGTGCGGGCAGAGGGAGTGGGAGAGCAACAGAGAAGATTTTTTAGAATTCTCAAAAATCAGGAGCGGGAGAGCAACAGCGAAGTCCACTTCCCTTCCTTGCCCCAACCTCTCTTCTTCACCCTCCCTTCACGTTTGGTGACCTAAAAGCGTGCAACAATTGCTCTCCCTCATACCCCATTTCCCTTCCCTTCCCACCCCCCTCCCCCTTCATCCGCACCTGGCGAGCTGGCAGCGCGCGATGCCCTCGTCCAGCACGCCGTGCTCGTCCTCGCATTGGCAGAGGAAGGGGAAGATGCGCGGCATGGGATGCAGCCTGGGGGGAAGGGGAGCGGGAAAGGGGAGGGCGTAAAGCGGGGAAGGGGAGGGCGTAAAGCGGAGAAGGGGCGTAAAGCGGGGGGGAGGAGACATCACAAAGCTTGTCGTCCTCGCAGGAGCAGAGGAAGGGAAAGATGCGCGGCATGGGGTGCAGCCTGGGGGAGAGAAGGGGGGAGTGACGTTGCTCGTGGTTGCCTCTCATAACAGATGCTCATGCATACGAATTTCCGGATTATTTCCGAGTGAGAGCTTCACTAGAGTCTCGGTTCCATTCATCCATTCTGGCCCCCCCACACCTGTCTCACCCCATGTTTCCGCCACTCGCGTGCAGCGCAGTGGCGCACGCCGCCAGCACGGACGCCAGCGCCGCCACCGCAGTTCCGCCGACCATCCAACTCCGCGCCATGGCGCAGTGACGGGGAGACGGGGAGAGGGGGAATGCGCGCGAAGCGAACCAGCGCAGGTCCGAAAAGCGGAAAGGCGGAGACGGACTATGGGGAAGGCGGAACAGCGCGGATGGGGGAAGCCGCGGAGGCGCAGACAGACTATGCGGGCGGCGCGGAAGGTGGAAGCAACCACGTAGACTCGGCGCGGGGCGAAAGCGGAATTGTCGTCGAAGCGCCTTGCGCTAGAAGCCCTCCTAGCAGCCCTCGAGACAGCCGACTACTCAGATGACTTTTGAGCCTACAAAAAAGTCCAAGTAAGGTGCGCGTAAAAGTAGAGCATACGCAACAACCGCACTCAATCTAATACCCTGCTGATCCGCCTAAGGGGCCCGGAGGCAGCAGTGCAAACCGCGGCCTGATACGCAAGACTCCGTCTAGATTAGTTTCGAACGGAATTGGGAGCAAGCGCGCGCTGCGGCTGTTCTTGTGGGAGGCAGACGGTAGGATGGCATCTTCCAGTGACCGGACAGGGCGGCGCGATCTCTAGCGGGGTTGAAAATGGCGCGATCACTAACAGTCGACCCTCGCTCTCACTCAGCGACGCGCAAGCGACTGCGTCGCAAACTATTCGACGCCCCGCATGCGACGGTTGCTTTCGCGGATGCTGGCTGGAGGGTAGATGCGACTCGGCTACGCAGAAAGCACTGCGCGTAGTACGGAATGGGGGAGCGAGGCTTTACTTTCCTCGCCTCCTGTAGGCCTCGGTCTCACGGTCTCGCGCCCGACGAATTCGGTCGAGAAGACACTTGACGGCTGCTGGTTGTTCTACTTAGTTCAACCCACTAAAGTCGATGGCACACAACGGTCGCACAATTGACTAACTCTCCCATCTGAACCCAATTGACGCTAACAATGCGGGCCATCTGAACAGAAGTCGAGCCTGAGTAGCTAGGCTCGTCTTTTGAGGTGCCTAAAAAAAATACTAGCGCTCCCATCCGAACCGACGACGCTGATAACCTCGAGCCGCCTGGACTGAAGTCGAGCCGGAGTAGCTAGCCTCGTCAGCATGCATGCGTGCGTGACGTTGATCACACGCTACCGTACGACTCCGCTCGTGCAAGCAGCGCCGCAACAGGTGAAAGCTCAAATCTGGGAACTCCTACCCTTTTACCTTCTGCGATAAATAAGCTCATGCAAGAAGGTGTGCCTGTGCTGGGGTGCGGGCTGGCTGGCAACTAACCATTTCTGTTCTGTCTGCCCGCAGCCCTGGCCGCTGCTGCACTAGATTCCTAGGAATCGGGGGAGGAAATGACGTCCTAACACCTCGCGTGGTAAGGACGCACGAAGTAACGCAGGAAGCAGGACGGAGAAGTACACGTCGGTTAAAAAAATAAGGGGCAGCAGAGCAGCTGGTCGGCGGCGCGCGTGCATGTAAAGGTGCGACCGGTGGGCAAGCTAGAACGAATGATCGATCGGCAGGATTGGCTGAAAGTGCGACAGACTTGGCTGGTCGGGCAGATTGATGGGTGCTAGCAGGGAGCTTCGGGCACTTGAATAAATGATGGCTGCCCCTGAGATTCTTTGCCGCCCATCGCCTGTTGCCCATCACTTGTGTGTCGATTTGCGCCAAGTTCCGTTGTGGCAAGCAGCGAAGCTGCAAAGCATCCAAATTACACGTCAGCCAAAGCTGTACAATCAGATTCGTAAAACTGATATAATAAGCCGTTGTAAGGGCGACGTCAGGTTATACATTTCACACGTGCTTACAGTTCCTGTATCGTGGTTCAGGACGGTCCAACAAGGTGAAAAGCGGTTCTCGACGATTACCGCTCTTCACCGTGCTGAAACGAGATCTACCAGAGAGGGCGTACAAAAAGTTGTACAGACTGACGTCGCCCTAAGTGTTTTTTCTTATCACCACTTTCATTAACGAATCAGAATCCACTGACGCGTTCAACCATGAAGTGTGATCCATTCACCAATCACCCCTAGAAATCACAAATCTCCTGATGTTTCGCTGGTCGCAGTGTCATGACATGTACGCAATAAGCTCACAGGTCGGCTGAAAAAAATACACGGCTTTAGCCACGTCGATCATGCTGGTCGCAGGCATGTTTCGAGGCTGCCCTCCAATACACGCTCTGGCTTCGCCGACTCCCGCTTTTAACTCTCCAATAGCTCTTTCCTCCGGAACGCGTCTACGGCCTGCTACAACGCGCCGCGAGGCCGTCTGGCCTCGAACAGCCTTTCGCCAAGAAATTATAGCGGCAGTCATCCGTGCGACATGTTTTGCGGGGAGAAAAGGATTGTATAGCAGAAGAGCGGTGCGGGGACTTGCCAGCTCGAGCAGGACAAATGACAGGCTTGATCATTCGTGGGAAAATTGGAACTGGATGCACCGTTTTAGTGGGATTCGAGAGGCACAATATAGGGAGAGGTTATATCGAGGAATAGAAGGGATGGCTGGCATCGGCTGGCGATTTAGCGGGCTTCAGCCGGGGACGGCTGATGCAGCCGCGATGCCGCGTAGCCATCATGGGAACGGCGGTGAAGCCAGCCCAAGCGTCGATCATCGTACTCTTTCAAGGGAGGACAGCGACGTTGACGGTGACGGTAACGGTGACGGTGACGGAAACTGCGCTAGTAGCTCAGTTACTGGTGAGGAACCAGTCAGGAACAAAAGCAGGTGTCTCTCTGAAGACTCAACGTCATCTGATGACGTCAAGAGTGACAATAACACGTTCAGGACGCGTGGCAAGCAGGGAGTGGTCCGAATCTTGCTCTTCTGGCCCAACATCATTGGGTACCTGAGAATCGCTCTCCTCCTCACCCTCCTCCTCTACCTCCCCCTCTCAGCACCTCACCCCATCAACCTCTCCACCCTCTCCGCATCCTCCTCTCTCCCATCTATAGCCCACGCGCATGCATCCGTTTACCCCCGTGCACACGCTTCCCCCTTTGCAACCCATGCCATGCCTGTGCTGCTGTGTGCGCTGCTCTATCTGCTCAACATGGCATTGGACGGTGTGGATGGCGTCGTGGCTCGCCGCCTGCGCCAGGTGTCGGCGTTTGGTGCGATCCTGGACGTTGCTGTCGATAACGCACTGCGCACCGCCATGTGGGCGGCTGCCGTGAACAGTGCCATGCTGACCATGAACAGTGTCAGGCTCGGCATGAACAGTGCTGGTGGGAGTGTGTTAGGCATAAACAGTGCACGGATGCTGCAAGCAGCCGCCATCCTAATCCCATGTGTGGAATGGTTCACATTCACCTGCTCCCATGCCAGCACGCTTGGCAGTGCCAGTGGCAGTGGCAGTGGCAGTGCAACACGTGCTCATGGCAACGACACCACAGCACTTGCGGAAGGGGCTAAGGGAGGGGTTGGAGTGGCAAGGCAAGAGCAAGAGCAAGGGGTGGGGGGAGGACAAGAGCATGATAGTTGAGGGAAAGGAGTGGAGCAGGGAGCAGGGTTGAAGATGCGGTCGAAGGAGAGGAGCAACTGGAAGGACGTGTGGGGTGGCAAGAACGACAGTCCACTTCTGGTCTCTCTGGTCATGCGGAATGGCTTCAAAACGTACGTGACATGGGCTGTGCTGTGGGCTATATTATATGCTCTCTGATGTGGGTGTGGGATAAGCAGAGTCATGGTTCTTCTAGGGTGTCATGTCATAGTTAATATGGATTGGCTACCCACCATCATCACCTTCATTGCATGATCACTCTCACTCTCTTCCAATTTTCTGCGCTAGCTCAATAAGTCACCTTTTCATGGCCTCTTTGCTTGTCTTCTCTCCCCCGTTTGACCTCCCTCCATTCTGGTCAATCACAGCCCGGTTGGAGTCATGGCAATTGCAGGCCTGCACTTCCTCCCTCTCTGGCTCTTCCTTCGACACCATCTACACTTTTTCCTCACTTCACTCTCACACGCATATATGCAAAGTCAACCACCGTTGCACAATCTTGGGATGGTTGGACTTTCGGCACTGACCTCGCTTCCAGTGGGGTTGGTTCTTGGTATTGGAAGGCTTTTGTGTCTGTTTGTGGAGTTGTGGGTTATTCGAACTCACCTCCTTCAGATTCTCCTAACCGATGCGGAAGCTCATTTATGCAACTAGTCTTTAGCTGTACAGGATGGACAACAGCAGGTGGTGGTGCTTTTTCTCAAGGTACTTAGCAGCAAATGCACTCTGCATCCAATCATCTACTAACCCGCTGCGTCTGGGAAAAGTTGCACCACTTGATTCTCACATTGGTTGGTATCAACAACGAGGAAAGTGTAGGCTAAAAGCAGCTGATTTCTGCTAAATGTTGATTACGAAATCATGCTAGGAGGGTATCTATCATGCACTTCCCCCAGCAGCACGCGCCTCCCATTTTCCCCGCACTTGGGGATTGTCGCGAACAACCGTGCATTTCCTCCTGACACCGCGCGCGGCTGATTTTCTTCGCGCAACATCAGCCAATCCGCCACAACCATATTTTTTTCCGCAAATCAAACCAATCACTCGAGCATGCTGTCGGGCGCAGACACACCCGATCACCGTTCCCCGTTCCCCACCAAGGAACAACGCGGAGGTACAGCGCGGAGAGCTCAAGGGAATCCCCATCCGCCCTATGCTGGCTGCATTACGTTCCCCAAAGAGTCTCGCGCGCGCAACCATGTCATGTTGTCATCATCACGCGCGCAAACATGTCAACTTGACATCACCGCGCGCGCGTCCTGCTCCGTGACTCTTTTATTTTAGTCACTGCTGCATCACGCGGAACCCTTTTCGAGTTGTCCAAGAGCTCTTCTTTGTTGTCTGCAAGCAACACCTAGCAGCTTGCGTTGCGGCTCCGTTGCTCGAGCTTTGGAGCGTCGACGGCCGCTGTGTTCCCTGTGGCGGCGCGCGCATCCACGTGAACCAGTCGCCGAAAGATTATATCTTTATTGGGTTTTGCATTATGGCGTCCTCCATTCGCGTGCATGTGCCGCTCGGGCAAGTGGCAGAGAGTAAATCCGACTCGCCGGCGGCGAAATCACAGTCGTTTTCTGGTGCTGCTAACGCTGTCGCATGTCTCGGCTTCCCCTCTCGCGAAAGCATGCGTTTCGTCGATTCGTTTCGGCACGGAATCCCGCTAAAACGGTCCCTTACAGCCACTCGCAGCAGCGCTGTGCGAAACGAACGACTTGTAGTAACCACTGCTAGCGATTCTTCCTCTCCCCTCGCAATACCAAGCGACCGGCAAGTCGTTCCGTGTTTTCCCTCACGAAGCTTCCTAGCCGCATCCTTACCATCCAGCAGCGGAATGTCTCCGAACCTTCCAAGCGGCTCCTGCTTTGGACGGTCCGGATCGCTCCTTAACTCTAATCAACGGTCACGATTTCGCGTCTTCTCACGTCACAGCAAGCGACCCGACGTCGGCAAGACCCCCCCTCCCCCCTCGTGCGCCATCCTCCCTGAAACCGCAGCGGAAGCCGCCACGCTAGACTCCGACTCCCCCCGCGCTGCCGCGGTTGCGCGCGCTGTCGCCACAGCCGTCGAAACCGCCGACCGCGCCGCGCTTCCCAGCGGCGCAGAGCTAGCGGCGCAACTCCAGGCGCAGCCGGCGCAACAGGCGCAGCCTCCTCCGCTGATGAAAGTTTCCCCCGAGTCCCTGACATACCCGTCGGGGTACTTGGGGGGTTTCGGGGATAACAACCCCTTACCAGTGGATTCCAAGGGACACGTGGCGGCTGACGTGGCCGTAGATAAGGACGCGTATCTGAGGCAGATTCTGAGATCGCGGGTGTATGACGTGGCGATCGAGAGCGCGCTGGAGTTCGCGCCGAAGCTGAGCGAGAGGATCGGCAACCGGGTGTTTCTGAAGCGGGAGGACACGCAGCCGGTATTTTCGTTCAAGCTGCGAGGCGCCTACAACATGATGGCGCACCTGACGCCGCGGCAGCTCGCCAAGGGCGTCATTTGCTCGTCCGCGGGCAACCACGCGCAGGGGGTGGCGCTCTCCGCCTCCAGGCTGCACTGCAGGTGAGCCATTGTCGATGTGATGATGCTGCAGGGTGTTTTTGAGAATTCTCAAAAACACCCTGCAGCCTCCAGGCTGCACTGCAGGTGAGCCATTGTCGAGACGACCTCCCTTTGGAACATCTTGAATCGCAGGCACAGGGGGTAGCGCAGGGGCAGCCAAGGGCGTCATCTGCTCGTCCGCGGGGAACCACGCGCAAGGAGTGGCTATCTCAGCCTCCAGGCTGCACTGCAGGTGAGGCCTTATTTGTGCGTCTGGGACGCCTTCTGAGCCGTTTTGTGGAGCACCTTTTGGGTGTCTTCGGGGTGGTTCCGGGTGGTTCAGGGTGGTTCAATTTCTTGCTATTTCTCCGTTTCCTGCGCGCGTGTGACTGTATGCATGTGACTGTGTTTTGTGCTCTACTGCACGCATGTGAGTGTATACCGCCTCCTCCTTATCACACCGCTGTATTTGCGCCCGTTTTCACTGTACGTGTGTGACTGTATGCAGTGCCATAATAGCGATGCCAGTGACAACACCAGAGATCAAGTGGCGCGCAGTGCAGCGGCTGGGAGCGGAGGTGGTGCTGGTGGGGGACTCGTACGACGAGACACAGGTGAGGCGGTGAGACGCAGGTGAGAGAGATGAGACGCACGCAGGTGGGTTGTGCAGTGCAGTGGGTGGGGCCGTGGCAGCGGGTGTGCTGTGCATGGGCGGGCTGGGTGGGCAGTGCAGAGGCTGGGAGCAGAGGTGGTGCTGGTGGGGGACTCATACGACGAGACACAGGTGAGGCGTTGGTGTGGGGGGTGGAGCATATTTGTCACGTTGGAGGCCAGTGAGTGAGAGGAGTGGAAGGGCGACTTGAGTGATGGACGGGTAGTGCAGCTGACTTTTGAGGCGCCTCAAAAGCCGGGTAGTGTAGCCGGTGGGAGCAGAGGTGGTGCTGGTGGGGGACTCATATGATGAGACTCAGGTTAGTGAGATGGGGCAGTGAGTGCTGTTGGGACTGAGACGCAGGTGATATATGGGCGTGCAAGGCTGGTGAAGAGGCAGTAATTCGGAGGTTGGTGAGACGCAGGTGAGGTGATGCACTGTGTCTGGTAGTTGGGAGTCACAGGTCAGTAGGGCAGGGCACAGTGGGCATGGAGATGCTCGGTTCCGTTGGTGGGTTTCCTGCTGTTCACTCCCCATCTTACTCACCCATCTTATTCCCTCGTTTCTTTATCGTTCTCCCTCTTCCCCTGTCTATCTCCTCCGCCCTTCACTTCCTCCCTTGCCAAAAGGCCTATGTCAAGAAGCGGGCAGAAGAAGAGGGAAGGGTGTTCATCCCCCTCGTTCGACCACGAGTTGGTGATAGCGGGGCAGGGCACGGTGGGCATGGAGATTCTCCTTTCCGCCAGTGGAGCACGTGCTACTGCCCTTGCCCTTACCCCCTCTTGCTCCCGCTTCCCCCGTTCCCCTGCTCTTGGCCTTGCAGGCCTACGCCAAGAAACGAGCAGAGGAGGAAGGCAGGGTTTTTATCCCCCCATTCGACCATGAGTTGGTGATAGCGGGGCAGGGCACGGTGGGCATGGAGATTCTCCGCCAGTGGAGCACGTGCTACTGCTGCCCTGTCCTCTTACCAATCTCTTACTCCCCCTTCCCCCCTTTCCCTGCTCGTGGGCTTTCAGGCCTACGCCAAGAAGCGAGCAGAGGAGTTGGTGATAGCGAGGCAGGGCACGGTGGGCATGGAGATTCTCCATTCCGCCAGTGGAGCACGTGTGACCGCACGGGCGGCTGCTGCCCTGTCCCCTTAACCCCTCTTTCTCCCCCTTCCCTAATTGCTCCCTTCGTTTCTCTCAGGCGTATGCAAAGAAACGGGCTGAAGAGGAGGGGCGCGTCTTTATCCCGCCATTCGACCATGAGTTGGTGATAGCGGGGCAGGGCACGGTGGGCATGGAGATTCTCCGCCAGTGGAGCACGTGCGACCGCACAGGCGGCTGCGGGGGCGGCGCCGGCCAGTGGCGGTTCTTGGACTCTTCCTCGTCGGAGGATGAACGGGAGGGGCATGGGAGCAATGGGAGCGCAAATGGGGCTGTGAATGGCTCAGCAGCAACAGCAGGAGCTGCATCTGCATTATCGTCCTCCTCCTCCTCCTCCTTATCATCATTATCAGCAGCAGCAGCAGCCTCCCTACTATCCAGCGAATCTCCAGAGCAGAAGCAGATATCCCAAACAGCAGATTTGGTTGCTACCTCCCACTCCTCTCCCTTCTTCCCGCCTCCCCCAACCCCCGTGAACAACCCACCATCGTCACTGTCGTCAATGCTATCGCAATCAGCACTAGCAGCAGCAGGGGAGGGCGAGGGGCTGTGCCACATGGATCCCTCGAGTCTGCACGCGGTGTTTGTACCGGTGGGGGGCGGTGGGTTGATTGCCGGGATTGCTGCTTACATCAAGGCTCTGCAGCCAGAGGTGAGATGTTGTTTGGTGCGGTGGAATGCAGTGGGATGTGGTGAAGTGTGGTGAGAATGCAGCGCTGGAGGGCGAGGGGCTGTGCCACAAGGACCCTTCCAGTCTACACGCGGTATTTGTGCCGGTGGGGGGTGGCGGCTCATTGCCGGGATTGCTGCTTATATAAAGGCGCTGCAGCCAGAGGTGAGTGCGATGGAATGTGGTGAAACACGGTGTGATGCGATGGGATGTGGCCGAATGGGTGGGATGGTGTAGGATGCGGTGACCTGTCATGAGGTGTCGTCGCGAAGTGTGGTTAGAGGCTGTTAGCAGATTGCGGGCATTGTGCCATACGCAAGTTTTTTGAGAATTCTCAAAAAACATACGATTGCGGGCATTGTGCCGTACGCAAGCCTTCGATTGCTCCGAATGCTTGCTTGCCTGTTTCGATTTCTCCCAGATGTTATTCTCAACATCTTTATTTGTCCTTTTCGTCCCCTACATCCGCTCTGCTTCCGTCCCCTCGTCACCACCCCCCTCCTGTGCATGCCCACCACCAGGTGCGAGTGATAGGGGTGGAGCCTGCTGACTTTTGATTCAATTCGACTCACCCGCCTCTCCCGTTGTACCCCCTCCCCGTCACCACCCCCCTCCTGTGCATGCCCACCACCAGGTGCGAGTGATAGGGGTGGAGCCTGCTGACGCCAACGCCATGGCACTCTCCCTCTACCACGGCCGGTAAGAGTTGACCCACCCACACCCCAGGTCTCCCACCCACATCCCACCTCTCCCTCTTCTTCCCCTTCCCCACCTCCCCCAACGCCCACTCCCCCCACCACCCCTTCCCCACCTCCCCCACCTCCCCCAACAACCCAGCTGTGTGGAGCTCTCCTCCTGTGGCACATTCGCAGAAAGAGTGGCGGCGCGAACGGTGGGGGAGGACACCCTCGCCTGTGCCAGCAGCTTGAACTCACTTACCCCCCCTCCCCACCTCCCTCTCCGCCCCTCTCCCCCAGCCGAGTGGAGCTAGCCTCGTGCGGAACCTTTGCTGATGGAGTGGCGGTGCGAACGGTGGGGGAGGAGACCTTCCGTCTCTCCCAGCAACTGGTCGATGGCATTGTGCTCGTCTCTCAAGTCCAGTTACTCCCTCTCCTCCCCTCTGCTCCCCCCCAACCCAGCCGTGTGGAGCTCTCTTCCTGCGGCACATTTGCTGACGGAGTGGCGGTGCGGCAGGTGGGGGAGGAAACCTTCCGCCTCTCCCAACAACTCGTGGACGGCGTAGTCCTCGTGTCTCGGGATGAGATCTGTGCCGCCATCAAAGACATGTTCGAGGACACGCGCAGCATCCTGGAACCGGCGGGGGCGCTGGCTCGTTGGCAGTGCGGTTGTCATACCCCCCCCCCCTCCCCCCTGCCCTGCCCCCTCCCCCCAGCCGCGTGGAGCTCTCATCTTGTGGGACATTCGCAGACGGCGTGGCTGTCCGAATGGTGGGGGAGGAGACCTTCCGTCTGTCTCAGCAACTCGTGGACGGCGTAGTCCTCGTGTCTCGGGATGAGATCTGTGCCGCCATCAAGGACATGTTCGAGGACACGCGCAGCATCCTGGAACCGGCGGGGGCGCTGGCGCTGGCGGGGGCGAAGGCGTATTGCCGGCAGTACGGGCTGAAGGGGGAGGGCGTGGTGGCGGTGACGAGTGGCGCCAACATGAACTTTGACCGGCTCAGGCTGGTTTCGGAGTTAGCAGACTTGGGGGCGAGGAGAGAGGCGGTGCTAGCAACGACGCTGCCGGAGATCCCCGGGGCGTTCAAGCAGTTTGCTAAGCTGGTGAGTGGTTGAGGGGGGTGGAGAGTGGTGAGAGTGGTGTGAGAGTGGTGATGAGAGGGGGGGTGGGCGCTGGCGCTGGCGGGGGCGAAGGCGTATTGCCGGCATTACGGGCTGAAGGGGGAGGGCGTGGTGGCGCGGTGGCGAGTGGCGCCAACATGAACTTTGACCGCCTCAGGCTGGTTTCTGAACTGGCTGATCTTGGGGCCAGGTGGGAAGCTGTCCTGGCCACTACTCTGCCTGAAATCCCCGGGGCGTTCAATCAATTCGCCAAGCTGGTGAGTTGCCAAGCTGGTGAGTTGCCAAGCTGGTGAGTTGCCAACCTACGCCGCAGGTGGGCACTGGGCGCCAGCATGAACATCACAGAGTTCAAGTACCGCTTCTGTAGAGATGGCTAACCGTTTTCCCTATCGCCCCCCCTGGTTCACTTCCCTGCAATCCCTCCTGCTTCTCCGCTCTGCACCACCTTGTTCCCCGCAGGTGGGCGCCAGCATGAACATCACAGAGTTCAAGTACCGCTTCTGCTCCACTGATGCTGCCCACGTGCTCTACAGGTGCGACCATGGTGCACATGGTGGGGAGTGGTGGGGTGTGGTGGGGTGCTGCGGTGAGCTGATTAAGGGGTGTGCTGTACACAGAAGAAGACCTAGAAGCCATGATCACGCGGCTAGAAGGGGGGGACATGCCAACAGTGGACATGACAGACAACGACCTGGCCAAGGACCATCTGCGCCACCTCGTGGGCGGGTGCTCGTCCCTCCCCCTCTGTGTCTCTGTCTTAGAGGCAACTGCAATTTCCGTCATCCCCCTTTTTCCCCTCTCGCCATCTCCCCTATCCCCGGCGTCGGCGTGCACACAGAGGAAGACCTAGAAGCCATGATCACGCGATTGGAAAGCGGAGACATGCCAACAGTGGACATGACAGACAACGATCTCGCCAAGGACCATCTGCGCCACCTCCCCTCCCCCCCTCCCTTCCTCTTTCTCTCCCCTCAGTGTTGGAGTCCACACAGAAGAGGACTTACAAGCCATGATACTTCGTCTGGAGGATGGAGACATGCCAACAGTGGACATGACAGACAACGATCTGGCCAAGGACCATCTGCGCCACCTTGTGGGCGGGCGCTCGTCCCTCCCCAACGAGATCCTCTTCCGCTTCGTCTTCCCTGAGCGGCCCGGCGCGCTCGTCAAGTTCCTGGACCCCATCAGTCCCCGCTGGAACATCACGCTCTTCCACTACCGCCGCACCGTGAGTAGTTTGAAATTTGAGTTGAGCCGCGGGCAAGCAGTGAGGTCAGTCACGGTGTTGCTGGATGCGTGGTGGTGATTCACATGCCCACAGCCCCATGAGTGCTCGTCAAGTTCCTGGACCCCATCAGTCCCCGCTGGAACACCACGCTCTTCCACTACCGCCGCACCGTGAGTCCTCTGAACTCGCAGCTGCGTTGTTGGCTCATGTTTCACCTGGTAAGGCCAGCCATAGTGGCGTTGGTTCACAACCCCATCTGTGCTTGTCAAGTTCCTGGACCCCATCAGTCCCCGCTGGAACATCACGCTCTTCCACTACCGCCGCACTGTGAGTCCTCTGAACTCTCAGCTGCGTTGTTGGCTCATGTTTCACCTGGTAAGGCCAGCCATAGTGGCGTTGGTTCACAACCCCATCTGTGCTCCTCAAGTTCCTGGACCCCATCAGTCCCCGCTGGAACATCACTCTATTCCACTACCGCCGCACGGTGAGTGATTGTAGAAGGTGGCTGTGGGTGGTGGCTGGCAGGCTTGGAGCAGGTGAGTGAGTGGCGCCGTGGCGGTTTAGTGCCGGTTCCCATACCCACAGCCGCATCACTCCTCTTGAAGATCCTGGATCCCATCAGCCCGCGCTGGAACATCACTCTCTTCCGCGTGCATTGAGGTGTCTTTTGAGGCGCCTCAAACTACACCTCAATGCACGTGCTGGAACATCACTCTCTTCCACATCCACCGCACCATAAGCTTCTTTTATTTTATTCGATTTGATTAGTCTCAGGTGCTGACTCATGGGTCATGACACGTGGCAGAGCAGAATCTTGGGCAACGCTTTTGAGTCGACCTAACTGTCAGCTGAGGAGTTGGGAGCATAGAGTCGAGGTGCTCCCCCCTCTTGTCAATTCAACCTCAGGGGGAGATGATCGCGCATGTGCTGGTGGGGCTGCAGGTGATGCCTCACGAAGAGGCAGAGTTGAGAGGAGAGAGCAGCGGACTCACATTGCTTCTGCTCCCCGCTTTTCCCATGCTCCCCACTCTTGTCAATTCAACCTCAGGGGGAGATGATCGCGCATGTGCTGGTGGGGCTGCAGGTGATGCCTCACGAGGAGGCAGAGTTGAGAGGAGAGAGCAGCTGACTCACACTGCTTCTGCTCCCCGCATTTCCCGTGCTCCCCCCTCTTGTCAATTCAACCTCAGGGGGAGATGATCGCGCATGTGCTGGTGGGGCTGCAGGTGATGCCTCACGAAGAGGCGGAGTTCAGAGCAGTGGCGGATGCTCTAGGGTATGAGTACAGTGATGAGAGGAACAACAAGGCACTGCGCATCTTCATGCAATAGTGGGGGTGTTAGGCAGTTGCCTCCCTTGTTGAGGATGCTTTGGGGTACGAGTACAGTGACGAGCGCAACAACAAGGCACTGCGCATATTCATGCAATAGAGGGGATATTTGTGAAGTCACATCACCTTGCAGTCACGGGTGCTCTGGAATACTGCATTGGTACATTCCTGCGGGGACACTTGTGTCTCAATCACTTTGTGACATCTAAAAACAGCATATACCGTGCCATGTCACAAACGCGGATCGCGCTAATTCGATTCCCACTGTATTTTACATTGGTTGGCGTGAATTGCGCGGGTGTCGCGGACGAGTTACACGAGGCCCCGTCACCTCCCGAAAATCGCACGCGTGTCGAAATCTCACAATGTACAGCATGCACCTGGACGCCCGAATCGTGCACGTTTCAGCGCGGGAAAGGAAACCGCTCTGCCCGGGCTGACAGATGACTGGTCCTTCAGTCCACACGGTCACATCCCTGCCCGACTGTGCCCACCGTTCCAACCACGCTGACAGCACTCTCCCACTCCAATCTATTCTTCTTCTCCAAACCCCAGCTCTCTCTTTCTTGTTGCGAAGTCCTAGCCACCGTCCTCTTCCACGCCGTAGCCATGGCCCGTAAGCGCAAGAGCGTAGCTAGTACTGCTGACTTGTGCCCGCGGGATCTCAACGAGATCCCGTACATCGCCTGGATGAACAAGCAAATCGCTGGCGGCCGCAAGCCCGCCGGACCTTTGCCGGAAGGAGCGCCTGGTGCGGGAGACACCTCGTTCGAGGCCCCGCGCGATGTCCCTACCCGCGGACGCCGTCATGCTGACCGTGTTGCCTCATCCCGCGTCAACGACGATGCTGCCTTCGCTGACGACGATGACGCCGCCGACTCTGATTACAACGAGTGCGACGACGCCTGCGACGACGACGCGGACTCTGGCGAGGAGGAGGACAAGGGCATGTCCCCCTCCGAGGATGAAGTTGACGCCGATGAGGACGCCGATGAAGACGAAGACGCTCCCGAGGAGGCCCAGCCTGCGACCCCGGCTCCCCGTCGTGGCCGTGCCTCTGCCGCTGCGGGAACCAAGACTGCTGCGAAGGGCGGGGAACCTCCGCGTGCGGCTGCCACTACTCGCAACCTGCATCCTGTTAAGCGAAGCGTGTGGTCCCCCCGCGAGAACACGATCTTCGCGGCTGCACGTTGGTTTCATGAAGGACGAGCTCGGCCCCCTCCTCGGGAAGCAGGGCTCTCAGTACTGGGCCCGCCTCGCGCGCCATCTCGAGCTGGAGAATCCCGGGTGGGTGCGCGGCGTGAACGCGCTTCAGAAGCAGTGGCGCAATCTCGTCAACATGTACAAGCAGATCAAGAAGGGGGAGAAGGCGAGCGGCAAGGGTGCCGTGTGCAAGCCCCACTGGTACCCGTACATGGCTCTCTTCCAGAACAACAAGGCGGTGGGCAACCCTCACGCTGTCGACGGTGGAGGTGCGGCACACGTCAACGTGCCGTGCGGGTTCGCGGTTCCGTCCACTTCGGCACCCTGCAACTCTACGCCGACATTCACTGGTACGTTTCCTTTGGTGCAATGATACTTGTATTGCGTTTTATGATTGACACATCATTACACACCTTTGACTATCAAATTTCGGTACAATACACAGCACATATTCTAATGCATGCGTACGGCCACCGTGTGTGCAGCTCCACCTCCGCAGGGTACTCCCACGTCGAAGCGCCCACGTGTGGCAGAGACGGCAACGATGGCCGCTGCCAAGCTGGTGTGCGAGACAATCAAAGGCTGCCACTCTGACGCCATGAGCAGGCTCGAAGGCCTTGTCCGCGCGCGGATGGAGCAGGACGCGCCCGCGAACGCGTGCAGCAGCCCGCCCCCCCCCCCCGCCGGCCGGCGATAACATCCCAGCCCACGCGGACAACATGACCGCTGCGGGCGGCGCCGAAGGCGGCGACGACGGCTGGCTCCGTCGCAGGCAGACGGGCGAAGACGCCTCTAACCCTGATGCGGGTGAGGAGGTGTGGGTTCGCGGCGCCGCCGAGTGAGGTAAGACGACTCCAGAGCCTCGCCCAGCCGCTTGCGCCTTTCCCGCAGATTCCCTTGCGTGCACGGGTCACATGGCTCCCACTTGAACTCCGCTACCGCCCCACGAGTCCACCATGGGTCCCGGTTTCGGGGCAAATTTGCCCACGATGCATTCACGCGCCTCACTTGCCCCATCGTTTCGCACATGTTGTGCAGGATGACGCCACAAGACGCCCCCGCAAGAATGCGCCAGAGCTTGCAGTCATTGCGGCCCGCGAATAGACGCCACCGTCCTTTGAAGGCGCCGATGCAGCGTTCTACTGCCATGCGCGTTGCGCTTTGGCAATAGTTAAAGCACTGCTCCCAGTCCTCCATTAGGCCTTCACGGGGTGCATGTAGGGGGGTCAGGCAGAAGTCCCTGAGTGGGTAGGCAGCATCTCCCACTATTTGGTATGGCGCTATGTCGCCGTTGTGCAACCTTTCGTGTAACGCGCTGTTCATGAACACTCTCTGATCGTGCGCACTGCCCGGGTATCCTATCAAGTAGTCCCATATGATGCCTCGCGCGTCGCATGTGAGCTGCAACTGGACGGCGTAACATGACTTCCGCGTGTAGTACTCTTGCCTGTGCCCCTCCATCCCCTTCATGGGAATGTGTGTGCCGTCTATAGCCCCCACTACCGCAGGTACCCCCTTGATGGCGCGGAACTCCTCGGCCATCTCGTCGAGGTCGTCACGGGTCGGGAAGTGGACCCACTGCTGCTTGAAGACGGACGGGAAATGCATGAGGAGCGCGTCAACAAGCATGTGGCAGAGAGTCTTGGACAGCCCGAACACGGAGGACAAGTCTACGAACGACATGCCACTGGCCAGGTATTTGATAGGGACCAAGCATGCCACTTCGTGACTGATGAGGTACCTGTCCACATACGGCTGCATGTAATGCGCCATCTCGACGACTATGTAGTCGAGAATACCCCGGTTTATGCGAAACAAGTCCCTGAATTGATCCTCCCCCATTCCTTCCAGGTCCTCCAACAGCAGATGGTATCTCCGCCGGCGTAGCGCAGCCCTTCTCTTCCGCTCGGCGGTACGGTTGGAGCCGAGAGAGCTGGATGACGAGGACACCTCGTCGTTGAGCACGTTCGCCTCCAGCAAGCCAACGACTGACTTGGCGACGGCGTCCATGAAAATGCTGTAGTAGAACGTAACCCAAGCTACGAGCAGTCGCATGAGGAATGGCACCTCGCGGGGCGAGGCCATGGTTGCTAGACAGTGGTGCAGTTTAGGCCTGTGATAAATGTGTTTTTGTACTTGGAGAAGTAGTTGTGTACAAGCTGATGTGCGTGGGGTGTTCTGGGCGAGACCCGCCTCGCCCAAATTGCAACTTCCATTGCAGAGGCACACCCTCCCCGATGAACGCGGAGGTGTGATATGTTTAGGCACGCTGACCGGCGGGAAAACTTGGTGGGCACAGTCCAAAGGGTCGCAACCAGTAGTACGCACCCACCTGGCCTTGCCCATCTGTCGCGCAGGGTCGCGATACATTGGTTGTTTGTGACACAACATTTTGCAAATTTACAGGCGCGACTCGGGAAAACGGGGATTGAGACACAAGTGTCCCCGCAGGAATGTACCAGTACAGTGATATGGTAGGCGGACCAACAATATGTGAAAGTAGCAAATTGAACAAGTAACTTCATTAGAGGAGAAAGCTAGCATACATAGTTGGGAGAGAGGCTTGGAAGAGAAAGGTGAAGGTGACCATAGGTTGGGTTGACCTCACTTGGGGGAGTGAGGCAACCATAGGTCAAGTGGGTTGGGTTGCCCACACTTTGTAGAAGTGAGGCAACCCTAGGCCCACTTGGCTTGAGATGACCTCACTTGTGGGAAGTGAGGCACCCATAAGCCAAGTGGGTTGCATTTGGGGGCTCCACCACAATTGGGTAGATTGGCACCCCAAAGTGCAAGACTACACCCAAAGTTGGGTGTAGTCCCAACCCAACTGTACACCACAATTGGTGTACAGTCACATGTGTTGGCATGCTACACAACATATATTTTAACACAATACACTGCACTTTCATGAAATAGAGGATATTAGGACGGTTGCCTTACGAAAGAGCTTCAGTGCTAAAGGGGAGAGCCTAAACAAAAGGGATTACTGTGACAAAACACACAATTGATAAGCAAGCTGGTTGTACACCTACTAAACATATTGTAGGTGGGATGGGATGGGATGGCCACGCCTTGGGAATTGTTGGGAGAATCTCATCACCAGTGCAATCACACAATTGATAAGCAAGCTGGTTGTACACCTACAAAACATATTGTATACAGTGTAATACAGTATCATATTCACATGCAACGAGCACACAAGAGTGTTGAAACATTGTATCGTGGTAAAACTTCAGAGGTTGCTTGTGGTTCCTCTGAGAATTCTCATAAGTGACATACGGTAGTTCAGGGACGACCAAGGTTCAAGCGGTTGTGACATCAGCCGCAGGGACCTCCGGGTGCCTGGCAGCCCACCAATCAATAAACTTGAAATTGGCATCCATAGAACTGAACTTGTACAGGCCCAGACCTATGTTGGCCGCCTCTTCTGTAACCGCCCAGCTGGTAACTGCACCCACCACGAGCGTGAGGAACGCACCTGGGATATGGAACATATGGGGTGGGGGCAGCAAGGACCAACACAGTTTGAACTTTGAGGTACACGAGGTGCATGTGGGACCCGAGCCCTGCTGCTTGGGCCATGGAGTGAGATGCGGGGGGGATCGAATGTGAGATGAATCTCATTCTTACGCATGATCATTCATACACCAGGGAATGATATCACGCATACCCTGTTCGATTCGCATGATTACTCTGTTCGAACATGCATGATGCATCACTCCCTCGAATCACTTCCTCTGTTGGACATCCATGTATGCATGCATACGTGCAACTCTCCTCTCCCCTAAACACTCACCCTCCATTGCTCCACAAGTACCGGTAGTTGTATGCTGAGAGCGTCAGGTCCCACGCTGTAATATGACGACCTTTGAGCCCCTCAAAACCGCCCCCCCTCTCCAACACCCTCCATCCCCTCACCCGCTGCCCCACACTCACCGCCAACGCTCCGCGAATACCGGTAGTTGTACGCCGCGAGCGCCAGCCCCCCAGCCGCCGCACCGCCAGCCGCCATTAGCGACGCCTGGCGCGATAGCAGCACCTGCGCGGGGGGGAGGGAGCGCGTGGGGCGAGGGGGGAGAGAGCGCGGTGGGGGAGGGGAAGGGCGGGATAGAGAAGGGTGCGAGAGATTAAGAGCGAACTCGCGCACCGACCGGCTGGTGAGGGCGTATCAGATCTGGTCACGGCGCACCTGTAATAGAAACGCGTCTTTTTTTTCACCTCCAGGCACCGCACCTGCCGTCAACCGCACCTGGTTGCCGCTACCGCACCTGGTTGCCGCTACCGCACCTGGTTGCCGCTACCGCACCTGGTTGCCGCTACCACACCTGGTTGCCGTGAACGGGATCCTCCTTAGCGAACGCCTCGATATCCGCTTTAGTCCAGCGAGGCAGCGGCGTCTCGCGGCCCTGGCTGAGATCCAAAAGGCGGTTCACCGTGGGACAGCTCTTCGCTTCGCCGTCGCCGCTCTTCTTCATCCACCACGGCGTGTAGCCTGACGCCATGCTCGTGATTATAACGAGATGTGACTAATTTTGGGGTGACTGTTTGGATATTGATGAGATCAGAGTGGTTTGCTGGATGTTGGTGGTCACGCGGAAGTTGACAGTGGGAAGTGAAGAAGCGGAGAGGACGACGGGCAACCGGTAAGTCGTAACGACCGACAAGTGCGGGCAACCAGTTAACGAGCTTCTGCGGCTGCGCGACTAATTCGTGGCTTTTCCTAGGAATTTCCCAGACTATGCCACGGAACCCTAAAATGTCTTAATTCCTCTCAACCCTACTCAACCGTCCTGGAACAGGGAATCTCCGTGGTAATGCGGAAGCGGAGCGAGGAGGAGAGGTCTCCGAGCTCCGCAAGCTGGAGTGCGCATGCGCGGTCTAGCTCACGCGGAGATTGTTTTCTGCCACGCGCGCTGTCTGGATGTCCGTGGAGAGCGGGAAGAGGGTGCTTCCTAATTGGTTGGGCCAGTGCGTTGGGTCCTGGCGTGGCATGACGTGGAAGTGGGCCAGAAAAGCATTTACATCTTTCATTAAAGACAATGTCTTAGAAATATATATCCACGATTGCATTAGAGCTGCGTGTATCTTTAGAGAATAGAGTCCAACAGTTGGTGAGAGAGACAAAAGCGAGGATAAACTCTGATTTTGAGTCTTCAAATTCTGACCCAAAGCTCTGTTTGAAATCATTTTGCAGGTTTGATTGATCGTTGGCTTCGCTGATTTGTCTGTTGCCTCTCCGCATCGCACCGCATCTGATAGCTTAGCAGTTTTTCCCACTGCCTCGCCTCGCCTTAGTCTAAGACTGGAACCTACCTCGAACCTTAATATCAAAACCCCGGCTCCGCTTCTATCCTCCTGCACGTATCTAGGCGCGCCGTTCAGTCACTTTCCTTCGCAGAGTCGGCGATTCATCCGTGCCTCGGGCGAGTAATACAACGAGAACAGGCTACAGCCGTCCTTAACGCAGTCGGAATAAAACCGTTCGTTAAACTAATAGCCCGCATTTGTCACCTTGTCGGTTCCTCGTGCGGCATCTACTACGCTGATCGGCGATCCAATGGCGGAAGGGAAGCAGGCGAAAGTGGAAGCAATCACCCTCAAAGTTGTCGCCCAGGTGAGTTCGTCTCACGAGGTATCTTCTGAACTTGCATTATCTTATACATTCGGAAAGCCTAGCAATTGTTCACGCACCTTAGAAGTTGCCGCCGCGAATGCTTGTTTGCATCAATGGCCGTCGATGAGCCGACCTAGCATGCCTTTTGTTTCTACCTTTTTTTACTCTCGAAAGACGCGCCGATTGTTTCCTTCCCACTGTAACGCTCTCGCGTTGCCTTCCTTCGCTCCGACTTCCTCCCCTGCTGGGCCCACAGGACGGAACAGAAGTGTCGTTCAAAGTGAAGCCGAAAACCAAGTTCAGCAAGGTAAGGGTGGACCAAGTGCCTAAGCTTCCCGGAATGACAAAGTGAAAAACGAATGTCACGTTTCGAGATGTCTCACAATCCAGTTTTAAGACGCCTCAGAGGGTGGACAAGTCAACAAGGCCCCTGAAACGATTAAGCAGCAAAGAATGCCCAGCAAGTCAATGGAGTGTGAAAGGTTCAAGGTCGACACGTAACCATGGTTCTTCCCATTTACTCCAAAACCTGATGCAACTCTAACAGCCAGAATGCGTTCCACAGGAGGTATTATGAGCATTACGACCCTGACCTTCCGTTCAACCATAACGTTCCGCTTGTCTGCGGGCTTGCGGCTTTTCAGTATTTTGCATATTTCTCTCCCAACCGTTCTCCCCGTCCCCCCCTGCCCCCTCATTTACTGCAGTTATTTCAGGCGTACAGCGATAGAAAAGGGTTCAAGTTAGACACCATGAGGTTCCTATACCACGGGTGAGTGCCGCCCCCTGTACCACGGGTGAACCTTATCTTATAGCGATTCTATCGTTGCGTGGTGCGTGGGAAGGGTTGGTGCTATGGGATTGGTTTGAATTGAAACGGAGACGAAAGTCATTGCGGGCCTATCATTTGGTTCCCGTGAAGCTTCACTTGCATCATTCTGTAATCGAGAGTTTTGACCCCCTTCGCTCCCGCCCTCCCTTTCCCGTTTCCTTCCCTTCCCTGCACTGGCTTTCCCTTCCCTTCCCCTTCCCCACTTCCATCTCCACCCCTTCCGTATCCTCCCCGTCCCTCCATCTAACTCCTTTCCTTCCGTTTCCTCGCTTTCCCCCTCTTCCCCTCCATTCCCCTCTTGTGTTCACGCACACTCATTCCCGCTCACATTGCATCTACAGTGGTCGAGTGCTGGGGGACAACACGCCTGCTGAGGTACGGGCTGTTGCAGCACACAACACTCTCTCCAACCCTTATTTTCCCTTTTCTGTTTCCCTCCGAATTGTGGGGTCGGGTTCGTTGCAGCCCATTCTGCGTTTCTTTCAGTGTCACCTAGTAGTGGGGGGAATTTGCAGCTTCGGGTACCACCATCCCCATCCTCACACAGCACATGCCACTGCACCAAACAAACACCTGATCTGACACTTGAGCCAACTCGAGATTCTTATTGCATGCCACTGCACCAAACAAACACCTGATCTGACACTTGAGCCGACTCGAGATTCTTATTGCATGCCACTGCACCAAACAAACACCTGATCTGACACCTGAGCCGACTCGAGATTCTTATTGCATGTCACTGCCACACGCCTACACCTGGTCCGACCTCTGATTTCACTTAAAGTCACATCACATCCCATGTCACTGCTGCACACCAATATCTGACATTTCTTCCCCCATTTGCATTTCTGCATCAACAGCTGGGCATAGAGAACAACGACCAGATCGAGGTGATGGTGGAGCAATTGGGAGGAGGCACGTGGCAGCAGCAGCAGTGCCGGTACCTTGTCAGATGACAGATACGCTGTCCGGCTTTTGTTCATTGACAGGCTGACATATTTTTGCCTAAAAACAGGCTTACAGGCCTTCGACCCTTTTTAAGAAAACGGTTCATTTGGATTACAGGCGGGCTGTTTCCACTTGAACCCATCGGTTGTCGCACTATGAATCCTGGCGGATTGTTCCTTCAGCAGGTTTCGGATCACTGTAGGTTTTTTAAAAGAAGTGTGTTCCTTTTTGCTTTGATCATTTATAGTGGATTTGGTGGACAGCAAGTTACTAGGTACATGGTGGAAAAAACCTTGAAATTTCACCGTACCTGTTATTTTGCTGTCAGACTGCTTGATAGATTTTCGGGCTATGACATTCTGTAGCTAGACTGGAATTGCAATAAAGAGATTACAACTAGTCGATCTTCTGTGGAGACTCCAGTTACAAGGTTACATTGCATGGTCATTGCTGTGGGAGCAGGGGTAGCACCAGCAGCATCCAAGCACCAGTGGCAGCAGGGGCAGGGGTTCGCTGGTGGGAGTTTGGGAGCAGCAGGGGCACCTTTCTTGCCAACAGAGGATGAGAGACAGAGGTGCCAAAAAATGTCTCACACTGACATGTCTTCCCACCTTGCCCATAGGGGACAGAATAAAGGCTAACGGCACAGGTTACGATGTTTTTTCCCGACATGGGCAGAACACCTCTAGGCACCGGCAGCGGCAGCAGGGGCGGCAGCGCTAGCAGGGGGGGATGCTCGTGGGAGTTTGGGAGCGGAAGATTCCTTGCCGACTGAGGAGGAGAGGTAGAAGGTTCAGAAGATGGCGCACACTGACATGACTTCCATGTTACAGGGTAACAGCACAGGTTACAACGCCGTTTCCTGATATGAGCACCTCTAGGCAGCAGCAACGGCAGGGGCAGCAGGGGGGGATGCTGGTGGGAGTTTGGGAGCGCCCTCCTTGCCAACCGAGGAGGACAGGTAGAAGTTCCAGAAGATGGCACACACTGACATGAAGGCCACTCGCGCCTCTAACGGGACAACCCTGTAAAGGGGATGGATGAGCAGGTGGGGAGGAGAGGGGGAAGGAGAGGGGGAGAAGGAAGGCTGGAAGGTGGGGGATCGAGGAGATGGGGAAAAATCTGCATAGGGGGACACAGATCAAGATAAAGAGTTTGTTTAAGGAGCGATACACATCATGGAGTGCGGGGGCGAGATGAGAGGCTTACGCAAAGTTGAGGCTCGCAGCTGGAATCCAAAACTTCCACCCTGAAGCGATGAGAAGGATACAGGAGGAGGGGATAGGCGCGGGGTACAGCAGGAGGAGGAGGAGGAGGAGGAGGAGGAGGAGGAGCAGGAGGAGGAGGAGGAGCAGGAGGAGGAGGAGGAGCAGGAGGAGGAGGAGGAGGAGGAGGAGGAGGAGGAGCGAGGAGGAGGAGGAGGAGGAGCAGGAGGAGGAGGAGGAGGAGGAGCAGGAGGAGGAGGAGCAGGAGGAGCAGGAGGAGGAGGAGCAGGAGGAGGAGGAGGAGCAGGAGGAGGAGGAGGAGGAGGAGGAGGAGGAGGAGGAGGAGGAGGAGGAGGAGGAGGAGGAGGAGGAGGAGGAGGGAGCAAAATAGGAGAGCACGGGACAGGACAGTGGGAACTTTTGAGTCAGAATCCAAGAATCTAAAGCTTTGAATGAGGAGATGTGGCTAAGGTCTGATCTACTAATGATTACAATGGCAACCACATGCTCCACTAAACATCACAAAAGAAGTCCTTATAAGTACATAAGAAGTCCTTATAAGTACATAAGAAGTCCTTATAAGTACATAAGAAGTCCTTACACATATCTGATACTATAGCTTACCATCAACAAGCGCAGGGAAGAAATCCCTGCGGTATTTGTCAGGAATGTCTTTGGCCTTGCCCATCCACGCCATGTTCCATGCGAATACCACCAGCAGCACACACGGTCCCAGCACCACCTGATTCGCTGTCACCTGTAGGCATGAGGGGTAGGGGGGGGGGAAGAGGGAGAAGTAGTGCAGTGGTGGTGGGGAGGAGAAAGGGGATGTCTTTGGCCTTGCCCATCCACGCCATGTCTTTGGCCTTGCCCATCCACGCCATGTCTTTGGCCTTGCCCATCCACGCCATGTCTTTGGCCTTGCCCATCCACGCCATGTCTTTGGGCACCAAGTTGGTGATCAAGGCAGCAGGCAGCAGGCGGTCAAGGCACTGATACCATACCACACGTGGCTGCTGGGGTCATAGAGCAGGATAGCAGTAGGAACAGGGATGGAACTTTATTCTAACGAGTACAAACACCCACGCACCTTGAGCACAAAGTTTGTCAGCGTGGGAGCAGGCAGCATGCGGTCGAGGCACTGATACCACACGTAGCTGCCGGGGCCGTAGAGCAGGAAGCCATATGACGCCATGCGCAGAGCGCGGATAAAATCGTGCTGCCATAGCTCCTTGTCCGCCACTCCTCGCAGCTGATGGGGAAGGGGGGAAGCACGGGGAAAGAGGGCGAGATGCGTGGGGAGGAAGGGGAAGGCCCGAATCAACCACCCAGGCATAAGCAGGCCGTAGAGCAGGAAGCCATAGGATGCCATGCGCAGAGCTTGGACGAAATCATGCTTCCACAGCTCCTTGTCCGCCACTCCCCGTAGCTGATGGGGAAGGGGGGGATGGCGGGAGGGGAGCGGGGGACGTACGGACGGGATTAAGAGAAGAGGGTGGGAGAAGGTGGTTAAAGGGGGGAGAGGAGAGGGGCGAGGAAGGGAGGGCGGGGGCGGCGGGTGAGGAGGAGAGTGGGGTGGGGGGAATGAATTGGAAAGCTCAAATCCATTAATAACCCACCCACAAGCCACCCAGCACCACTCCCAACCGAGGCAAATCGCCCTCATTCTTCAGCAAGACGATGCCGCCGCCTCTATCTCTCTCCTTGGCCTGCCGCCGTCAGTACCACTCCACCAGCTGCTGAGATGAGACGCCTCACCCACTCTCACTTCCACCCACCCAGTCCGACTCACTCTCTTTCTGCAGCATGGCGATGCCACCTCTATCTCAATCTCCTTGGCCTGCCGCCGTCAGTACCGCACCACCAGCTGCTGAGATGAGACGCCCCAAAAGGCAGCTTGGGAAAGGGATCAAACCAACCCCACCACTCCCGCTCCCACCCATGGCAACTCACTCTCTTTCTGCAGCAGGGCGACGCCGCCTCTATCTCAATCTCTTTGGCCTGCCGGCACCACTACCACTCCACCAGCTGTTCAGACGTCTCAGGCAGCCAAAGAGCAAGATTGAGTAAGACCACCCATGGCCACTCACTCTCTTTCTGCAGCAGGGCGACGCCGCCTCTATTTCAATCTCTTTGGCCTGCCGGCGTCGGTATCGCTCCACCAGCTGTGCTATCGTATCACCTGTCAGCGCCAGCCCACTCGCCGTCACCGCTGCCTTGAGGGGGAACCTCTGGGCGGGAAGAGAAGGACGGGAGGGAAAGACACGGAAGGGGTGGGGGAAAGGGGAGAGTGCGGTGAGGGAAGGAAGGAATGTGAGCATTGAGGGACAACTCGCTTGCTGTCACTACTTGGTTGAGAGGAACTTCTTTGGTTGGGGGGGAAAATATGGGAGGGGCACGGGGGGAACGTGGGCAATGTGAGCAATGTTACAATGTTACAATGTTAGCAATGTGAGCAATGTTACAATGTTACAATGTTAGCAATGTGAGCAATGTTACAATGTTAGCAATGTGAGCAATGTTACAATGTTAGCAATGTCAGCAATGTTATGTCAGCAATGTTATGTCAGCAATTATGTCAGCAATGTTATGTCAGCAATGTTATGTCAGCGATGTTAGCGATGTCTGCAATGTTATGTCAGCAATGTTATGTCAGCAATGTTATGTCAGCAATGTTAGCGATGTTTGCAATGCTATGTCAGCAATGTTATGTCAGCAATGTTAGCGATGTTTGCAATGTTAGCAATGTGAGCAAATGTCAGCGTGTTGAACTTCATCTACCCACCTCCAGCAACGACCCAGATTGACCTTTCTTCTGTGATGGTTCTTCCAACGGCTGAGATGCGTCCGATGCACTGCAAGCAAATGGGAAGGTGGTAACAGCATCAATGAAAATGTGGAAGGACGCGTCAACGGGAAGGTTTTGTGCAGATGGAAAATGCAATACACTATTAAGACAGGAGCCCAAACCCCAAACTCACAGACCCTAAACCAAAAGCCGGAAGGTCAGTTTGGGTCCAACCTAAGCCGTCCAAGAATAACTCTCATTTCCTTCTTTGATAAATACTCAGAAAGCGACTCAGCCTTCTTGGAGCTTTAGTAAGTGCGGGATGAATCCTCACCTGGCTCTAAGGCGGTGCTTGCCGTGCTGCCACGTGGCAGAGAGAGACGAGAGCAGCGAGAGCGACAGCCCTTGGGAGAGCGAGCAGGAGAGGGCCGCAGGCGGCCGAGCGCGGAGCGCGTCAGAGAGAGGGTTGACTCCGTTGACTCCGTTGAAAGGGTTAAGCGGCAAACCGCCGGAAGCGGCCATCTGGATTGGCTGGATAGAAGTCGAAGATCGTCAGTGATGGCGGGAAAACTTGGTTGCTGACTCTTCTTCGCGCTAACGTGATCGAACTGGGGCTAAGTCAACCAGGAAATTATTAAAATTAAACCAGACTGCAACTGAGTCTGACGGTTATCTGTGCGCCTGATCAATCTGAAAAAGGTGTCACGTCGACGGATGATTTGTTTGAAGCAGGAATCGGTTGCCGGGGAGAAGGGGAAGGACGGTAAGTTCTGTTGTCACGTACGGGCTCCACAAGCTTGGTCGTTAGTATAGGAGACCAGCGGTAATAGCTAAGGAGCGATAGTGGTCTTGTCTGGTGTGGGATGGCATCGCTTGACTGATCAGGTCTGATGTTGCGCACTCCCAACTATGCACACTCATCAGACCTGATCAGAGATTATCCTGACGACGTTGCGAAGATCCTCGCGATACCTTAATGAATTTTGATACGCTAAACCTTATGAAGCTCAAGACAAAAGCCAAAACTACATATGAATCTTGGCTTTACATTCTTAACGAATGGGGGTATTCCATTGGACTTCCATGATACACACAGCAAAAATACGTTGTGACTGCTTTGGAAAAGAATGAAAGTGAGAGGATTTAATACTCCTCTTAACTCATGCCGACAAAGGCACCGAAGCCGCTAATGGCGACGTCACAGCTGCTTTAGCAGCTGCTTTACCTCCTCTTTGCCCAGCAATTGCACCATCCCCGGAATCGCACTCCATCCCGTCACCTTCCCCATTCATCACTCCACCACCCCCTCCCCTCCCTCCGGTCCGTTCCCTCTTATCTCTCAACCCTCCCCCATCTATCCCATTCACCTTTCCCTTCCCATCTGCAGATGCCCCATTCTCTCCCTCCCTCCTGTCACCACTCTCCTTCCCTTCCCTCACTCCACCCCCCTTCTTCTCCCTACTCTCCCCCCGTTTCCTCTTATCCTCCACCTCCCCACCCCCTCTACCAACCGCCCCACCCGAACCTCCTGCACCATCCAAACCTAGCGGCCGCTCCGGCTCAGGTTCGGCGAGCCAGGGGTGGGCGAGGGCCTGGCGGGCAGTGGCTCGGCGCTCGGGGGCGAAAACGAGCATGGGGGTGAGGAAGGAGGCGAGGGAGGTGGCTTCTGCTGGGGGGAGGTCGTATTTCTCTGTGAGCACTCGGTCTAGCGGCCAGAACTTGAGGCGCCTTATGTGCCTCAGCTCCCCGTTGCGCGAGAAAAAATCCCTAGAGTACTTGCCGCCTAGGGCGATCTGAATGGGGGGAAGTGTGGGGAGGAGGGAATGCAGGGCAATGAGGGATGGACTTCCTCCGCCTTGTGTGGCTCAGCTCATCATTGCGGGAGATGATTCTTGATTCCAAGTGATTACTTCTCAGCTTCAGAAGTACTTGCCTCCTAGGAAGATCCTGATTCCCGAATTGACTTTTGAGCCTTCACAAACTTCAATTCACATGCATCGGTGTGAACAGCATGGGAGAGAGCATGGTACGTCGAGCGTGCGGTGTGATCTGAATGCAGCACGTGTGATTGGAATGCAGCACGTGTGATTGGAATGCAGCACGTGTGATTGGAATGCAGCACGTGTGATTGGAATGCAGCACATGTGTGACTGACCTTCTTTGGAATCCGACCAATCAGCTCCATCATCAGCGCAAGATGATCCTGCACACACACCCCACACAGCAACGCAGCCACGACAACAGCGACTCAAAAATATTTTGAGGAACAAATGGGGAATCGGGTTCACTCTCACTCAAACGGAGAGATCCTGGCATGTCAAGGTAGGAGTCCAGTAAGAGAGAAGCATGATTGACTGGTCAGCAGACAAGCTTGAAGACAGAATGCATTGACAAAAAGCATGGACAGCAGTCAACAAACTAGGCAAGAACATCCCATCCCACCTCATCCCGTTCAAAGTCATGGCGTGAGCGAGGGTCAAAAAGAACATCTCCGGTGACGAGCTAAGACTCAGTGCACTGTGCGTGGAAAGTCACAGATAAGATAATACAACACAGCAGTGCATCCCACCTCATCGCGGTCAAAGTCACGGCCTGAGCGCGGGTCAAAGAAAACATCGCCAGTGACGAGCTCACACCCAGAGCAAAGTCCATGGGAAGTAACGCCAGTAACCAAGCAAGAGAGTCCCACCTCATCCCGGTCGAAGTCATGGCCTGAGCGCGGGTCAAAGAGCACATCTCCAGTGACGAGCTCGAAGATGAGGCAGGCGAAGGACCACATGTCCGCTGAGGTGGAGTAGCGCGCTCCCAGCAGCACCTCGGGGCAGCGGTACTGACGCGTCTGAATGTCACTCGTGAACTGGGGGGGGGGCGGGGAGGACGGGGGAGGGATAACAGGAGGAACAGGGGAAGAATGGAACAAGTGGACATCAAACCCCCCAGCAGCACCTCGGGGCAGCGGTACTGGCGCGTCTGAATGTCACTTGTGAACTGGTGTGGGGTAGGAGGGGGGAATGGTGGAGGGGCGACAGGGGGAACATAGGAAGAAAAGAACAAGTGGATGTCAAAACCCTCAGCAGCACCTTGGGGCAACAGGCATTCCCAAGGTCCACGATCTTGCAGCTCAAGTCCAGCCCTGTCAGGTCCACGGGCCTTTGTGACTTTCCAGTTGACTCAAGTTGACTTTCGAGTCGACTGAAGGTGACTTTGAGTTTACTCAAGGTGACTTTCGAGTCGAATCAAATCAAAACGCACCTGCTTGTACGTCCAGCAGGCATTCCCGAGGTCCACGATCTTGCAGCTCATATCCATCCCTGTCAGGTCCACAGGCCGCTTCCTCCTCCCTGCCACCTCTGCTGCCGCCTCTGCTGCCGCTTGTGCCGCTGCTGTTCCTGCTGCCGCTCCTGCTGCTGCCGCTGTTGCTGCTGAAGCTTTCTCCCCTGCACTCTTCACCCGTGTGCCACCATCAGTCCCTGCCACACCACCGCCACCACCAGCAGCAGAAGCGGTGGCAGTGGCAGCAACAGACGCAGCTAGGTCGGCCAGCCCAAGGTAATCCTCCATTGAAGACGAAGACGTGAATACCCCCTTCTGTGCTCCCAGTCCCGCTGCCAGCGGTGATACTACTGGTGCTGCTGCTGCTGCTGCTGCCCCTGCCTCTCCACCACCCCCTGCCCCTGCTTCGGCCCCTTTCCCCACCCCTTCACCTGGCCCTCTTGCCTTTCCGTTACCTTCGAGCCCTAGGAACTCTTTCAGCCCAGCTTCTAACGCGGACGACTCCCTCCCTCCCTCCACCGCCGCCCCCCCTGCTGCTCTGCTATCCGCCGTGTCCTCCACCATCCCCTCCGCGCCTCCCCCCGCGCCCCCTTCCCCCATGCCCGCGCTACTCTCCTCCATCCTCGAACCCCCCTCACTCTCCCCCATATCCGCAGCCCCCGCCTCCGCCTCTCCCCCTTCTCCCCCTTCCCCGGCCTGTGCCCCCGCACCACCACCACCAGCAGCCCCATCAGCAGCGCCATTAGCAGCACCGCCGGCAGCAGCTCCAGCCTTCTTGGCTTTCTTCTTCAGCTTCTTCCGCTGGTTCTTCGTCAGTCCCGACGACGCTGGTGACGCCAACGCCCCCCCTTCCGCCGTTCCCCCAGCCCCTCCCCCACGCACTCCCCCAGCCCCCGCGCCATCCCCCCCACGCGAAACCGAAACCGGAGGGGGAGGCGGAGGCGGAGGCGGGGGACCCTCCATTCTCCCCCCAATCCCCAGCTGATCATCTATCGACCGCACCAGCAGCACATTCTCGGGCTTTAAATCCGTATGTATAATCGACAGCTGCCTATGCAGATAGTCTAAGCCTGTGAGGATGTGGCGCGCGAGGTGCCTGACTGCGGGGAGGGGCAGGCCGCGGTAGCGGAAGCGGCGGATGAGCGAGAGGAGGTTCTCCCCTAGAGACTCGAAGACCATGCACACGTGCGAGCCGTGCGGGCCCGAGTGGCGGAAGTGGTCCAGTAGGCGCACCACGCACTTGTCGTTCCGCGGATCGCCGTCCGCCACCTGCCAGGAAGAGGAGGTGCGGGGGGGGGGGGGGGAGGGGGGAGGGGGGAGAAGAGGTGGGGAGAAGGGGGGAAGAAGAAAGGGGAAGAGTAGACGGGGGGAGAGGGGATGGGGAGGAGAGGGATGGGAATTGGGGAAACAAGGTATAAGAGGAGGTTCTCTCCTATAGACTCGAAGACCATGCACACGTGCGAGCCGTGCGGGCCCGAGTGGCGGAAGTGGTCTAGTAGGCGCACCACGCACCTGTCGTTCCGCGGATCGCCGTCCGCCACCTGCCAGGAGAGGGGGGGAGTGAGGATGGGGGGGCGAGAGAGGGGAGGAGGAGGAGATAGGAGAGAGGGAGAGGAGAAAAGGGAGGGGAATTGGTAAACCAAGGGATGATCGCTGTCCGCCACCTGTCTTACTTGGCAATAAGAGACGAACCTAGCAACTCGTTTGCAGATAGCAATCGACATTGGGTACTGTTATCCTTTCCTACCTGTCTGAGGAGCTGAACCTCGTCAAGAGCTGACTCGGTATAGTGCGACGCGCTCTTCTGCACCTTGAGAGCCACGTAGCGCTGCAGACACCCACGAAAGACGGAACGGGGACGTCACAAAGGGTGAAACGGGGAGAGGATAGTGGTCAGAACAAAACCATTCCTGAGAAAGAGATAATCAAAACAAGGACGAGACCAGAAGTAAACACAACCAGCTCATGGGTACGAAGTGCGAGAATTTGATCGCAATTGGTAAGCTTCCGTTCACCGCATTGAATGTACTCTTAGACCCGTTCCGTCTCCGTACTCGACCTCCTAATCTCGACCTTCTCATCTTGACAGATTCCAGTCACCTTGTTTGTTAGTCCTCCTCGCCTCCTCGCCATATCCATATCATCCTCCCCATTCCCGCTTCATTTTCTCCTCTCCGTTTCATCTTATCGTTTCATCTTACCTTCTCCGTTTCATCCTACCTTCTCCGTTTCATCCCACGCGAGCCAGACGGTCGAGAAGTGACCCCATCCGAGCTTCTTCACCACGCGATAACGACCATTCCTGAACGTATCGCCGATCTTCACGGGGTGGTAACCACCTCGCTTGTAATCGTCAGTCCCTTCGTCTTCCGACTCCGAAAGATAGTCGCTATCGCTAGAACCCTCGTCAGCTGATTCCACTTCGTCACGGTCCCCGGTGTAACCCTTCTCGGGCTTATCGCCGCCGCCTCGGTGGTTCCTATGCTTCGCGTTGGACGCCTTTCCCATCAGGGACTGTTAGAGGTAACGAAGCTGACAATTTGCGATCGGAGAGATTTACGGATAAGGAAGTGAATCGCTCGGAATGCAAGCCGTCCCTCGACTCGGCAAATCCACGACGCTGCTGCAAACCTGTACTTAGATTGCTGCGCGAACAGAGGCTCTGATTCCGTAGAATGCGTCCTCCTAGACGAGCGGAAAACCACTAGCCGATGTAGAGGTACGAGGACTCAACAGGCGTCACCTGTGAAACGAGCAGAACGTGGGAGGATTCAGAGATCGCCTGCCATAGAGGCTTTCAGCTGGATCTGGCCCTAGTCCTGACGTATGAACTATACAGTACTACGAGAACAAAGATACTGTAACTGCAAGAGTTCAAGGTTGCATTACGGAGTGGTCAAGAACGATGAACAAAGCATTTAGGGAGGTAAACAAACATTTTACCTCGGTTTACGGACCCAATAGTACCCATCGTTGGCTGTGTGCTTACAGGGCTTGTGGTTGCCATGCCGTTGGCATGGCACTGGATCATGTCTTCTTTCCGCTGATTGGTCGACACAAACGGCCACTGACGTACACGTACATGATGTCCATCGCGAAAGGGCACACCAATTTGTGGCTGGGAAGTCCCATGCCTGATTGTCCAGCAAAGAAATGGTCCAATAAATACTGTTGCAGAAGTAAGCTACAGTTTTGAAACCTATGACCACAGAAGTAATACATCTTCTACCAATAAATCCATTCACTAACCTAAGGTAACTACCCCTCAACTTATCACAGCAATCAGCCAATACTTCAATCTCCTTCTCTCCACCATAGTTAGTTTTCTGTCATCTGCAATCACCTATGGGCACTTGATATAGACAAATTTATCAAAGGGACGGTATTTTTTGCAATATTGTTTCTTTTTCAGCATAAATCTGTACCAATAATTTTTGGGACCATCTCAAAGCTGGTCTGGGGGACTGTTAGCTTCACATCCAGGAAGCCTTCACATAGAGACTTGGTACTTAATGTGAAGCGCTTTTGGTGAGGATTGATACTCCCACTACACCTTCACCTCAAATAATTCTATTACTTTTTTTTCTTTCTTTCTTTCTTTTCATTGCTTTTTTTTTTTTTTGTCTTTTCTGCGCTATTTAATAAAATTAATACAGCATGTAATACAAGGCTCAGGGAGAGGTATCAAAAGGAAAAAAGGGGGAAGAGAAAGAGATGAATAGAAAGGGTAGGGAGAAGGAAAGTGAAAAAGGGAAAAAGAGGCTCAGGGAAGTTGAGAGGAAAGGGACAAGGAAAGGGAAAGGGAAAGTGCACCCCCAAAAGACTATAAAAACACCACATAAGGAACCCCATCCAGACAACACATCAAGACACCCCAACAAAATACCCTATCTAAAAATTCCACACCCCCCAACCCCTTTTCTAGACCCGCATATCAACCAAGTATGGCGCATCCACCCACGGAGCATCCCACCTAACATCCTCCTCCATATCTTCCCGCTCAACCCAAACAACATATGGACCTCTCATCATCGACACCGCACGTAGCAAGATCACCCATGCCTGAGCGCGCTGCAGAGCCACCCCTATGGCTACTTTAAGTGACCCTAGCAGATAAGCAGAAAAACCCTTCCCCGTGGCCCTCGCCGCTCCCTTCGTCTTTGCTACCTCAATCTGTGCATCACCCTGTTCCTTAAGCCACCGTCCAAAGCTCCCACCAAGACATCCCCAGGTCTCTGCAATGAGAGGCGTGAACTGCACTCCCCTATGACGCTGCAAAAGCAATTTGTAATCCGCTGCCTTCTGCTTTTCTCTCTCTCTAGCAGAGAAACCCACCTTGCGGCCGATCTGTCCAGGTTGCTGCGCCGACAGAGAGATAGGATCTACAACGCTAACCTCCAACGCATGCTCCTCCCCCTCCCTCAATCTCCGAACCGCCACATCCACTTTTTTCCCTGGCAGCAACGTATCGTCCTCCATAGTCACCACCCCACCCGCAGCTTTAGCTATTTTCACCACCACGAACTTAACCGCGTCGTGAACCCGAGAAGGTGCATACTGATGCTTGCAGCGAAGGGCATGATGAGGATCCGAAGGATCAGCGAACTCGACCCCACAGGCGCATTTGCCGGCAACTATCAGCTGCACGATAGGGAGGCCTAGACGCACGGCCGCACAGATGCTCCACTCTGGTGCGGTGAACGTAGCCTTGTCATGCGACGGAACGGCAGAGACCCACGATCCCGCCCCCGGGCCCTGAAGGGATGTCAAACGAGTCAAGGTGGCATCATCGTGGGCCATGCTCCGAAGAGACTGCAGGCTCTCGACCGATAGGCGACGGTGTTGCGTAGGGAAGAGCAGCAATGGGGGGTCAGGGGTGCACAAAGCAAGGGGCGGTATCTCCTGCCGAACCGGCTGTGGAAGGAGCCCCACTGCTCTCGCGAATCAGGGATCCAGCAAGATCGTAGCTTCAGGCATGCGGAAATACTCCTCAAACATCCGCTCCTCTCCTGCCACCCCCATGCGAGCCACATCGCTCACTGCCTGGCACCAACCGCATGCGTACGACAGAGGGCTGAGGTCAGCTGCCGATCGTATGCCAAAACCCCCTAGTCTGGCCGGCAGATGCAACTGCAGGCGGGCCATCCGCGACTTTTCTGAATCGTGATCCCAGGTACCTGGCGGAAACAGCTGCTCAAAACAATCCTCAAGGGTCGTGTCCCAGTCTCGGAAAGCTTCCACAACCTCTGGCCGTGGAGGCATCGTCCGCGTGAGATAAATCGGACGCGCTGACACCGTGATCGCCAACAAATGAGACACAATTTGTGTTAGACTAAGCAGGCAGGAATGTGGTGGACTAGGTAGCATGCATGAGTACAAGTACCTAACCCTAAAGTGTTGTACCCCTTGTAGGCTAACCCACAATAGCCTAGAGATAACACAAACATACAGCTTGACACACCCCCATAGGCTAAGTGGGAGATAGCAAACACAACAGACGGTCACAAGAGCAGTCAGGCAAGAGAACAAAGCAAAGCAAAGCCCAGGGTGGATCACAAGGTCACCACGCATTCTAAGCACAAGCAAGCGGCCACAAGGCCAGTTCACATGCAGAGTTACAATAGCAAGGCAGTACACTGATCACAACCTAGCAAGAGTAAACAAGCAGGTATATAGATATATATTAGTGTACAACAAGAGCAAGTCAAGCAACCAGCAGGTGAGGTAGAGTAGGCACAAGCCCAAGAGCTGTGCAGAAACGCTGATGATCACCAGACCCAAGGGCCTTGGTGAAGACATCAGCAGTGTTGGCCCGAGAGGCCACGTAAGCAAGGCGCAGCTGACCACGCTACTGCAGCTCACGAGCAAGGAAGTAGCGAAGAGCAATGTGCTTCGTTCTGTGCTCCAGTCTCTGCTCGCGACACAAGGCAAGCATTGCCTTGTTGTCGACGTACAAAACTGGAGGAGAACGAGGCCGCTCCCCCAAGTCGGTCAGCAGGTAGGTCAGCCAGCGTAGCTCCTGTGCAGCCTGCTCCAGCGTAGATCTCGGCCTCGCAGCTGGAGCCAAGCACAGAAGAAGAACGAGTGGACCTCCACGAGACAGAACCAGAGCCAAGACTGAAGGTGTAACCCTGTGATGAACGCTGAGTCGCCTAGTCGTCGGCCCAAGAAGCGTCGGAGTGTCCTGTGAGTACCACTGAACCCTGTCCTCCAAGCACGAGCCCCATGCCCGGTGTACTACACAAGTGACACAGTACCCACTTCACAGCATCAAAGTGCACCTTTCGGTGTCTACCGGGAGCCATGTAGCGAGCTAGAAGGCTGAGAGGGTATGCGAGGTCAGGTCGTGTGCACGTCATCAGGTACATGAGGCAACCCACAAGCTCTGGGTACAGACCACTTGGCTCTACGGACTCGTCCGAAGGTGGAGCTGAGAGCGAGTGGCCGGTAGCCAGAGGAGTGGGTTGTGGCGAGGAGTACGTGAAGCGGAAGCGCTGAAGGATCTGGTGCACCATGTGTGACTGAGTCAGGGTGATGGTGTGCCGTGCTCTGTCCCGGGTGATCTGCAAGCCAAGATAGCTCCGCAGCTCACCCAAGTCAGTGCAGGTGTGTCTCTCCTGCAGCTCCGCCTTCACTAGGGCTAGTGCCTCAGTGTCAGCAATAGCAAAAACCAAGTCGTCGACATATACGAGGATGTAGAACGGCGGCAGAGTAGTGTCGGTGCGTAGAAACAGCGACGGGTCAGCAGTCGAAGGAGCAAACCCAAGAGCCGCAAGTGTCGTCTTCAGTGTGTCGTGCCACTCGCGGGGCGCCTGACGCAGGCCGTACACTGGTCGCCGTAGGCTCCACTGGGTACCCTCAGGAAACGACCTAGTGAAGCTCTGTGGACGGCGCAACCAGATGGCCTCGTGAAGGCTACCCTGCAAGAAAGCTGTCGAGAAGTCGAGGGAGTGCAGCTCGTAGTCAGGCTGAGCTGCAACGTGTAGCAACACCCGAAGAGTGGTCATCTTCGAGGTGGGGGAGAAGGTCTGAAAGAAGTCAACCCCCTCACGCTCACTGAAGCCTCGAGCAACGTAACGTGCCTTGAAGGCAGGCGGAGAACCCGGCGGCCGCTTCACCCTGAAAATCCACATGCCACTAACGATGTTCGCCCCAGGTGGGGGAGCCTCGTCGACGTAGGTGCCTGTGGACTTCCAGGAAGCCATCTCTGCGTCCATGGCTGTCTGCCACTAAGAGGAGTACTCACCCGAAATCGCCTCCCTGTAGGAGCGCGGGGTGGGGATGTCAAGTGCATCCGGGTCTCCCTCAGGGGCAAGCAGCATGGTCGCGTGATGGGGTGAAGCGGTCGCAAGGCACTCCAGCTCCTCCTGTCTGTCCTTAAGAACGTCACAGCCAAGGGCAGTCTCACCCCCGACGGATGGAGGATAGGCAGGGTCAGGGTCAGAGATAAGACTCGCAAGGTAGTCTAGGCGGTACACAGCAGCAAAGTCAACGAGCTCAGCGACTAA